TTGTAAATTTTTGTAAATTAGAAATTTTCTTCTTAAAATTTTTTTTTTCTTTCCTCAATTTATTTATTTCTTTTTGGAGTCTATTCAACAAATGGCAATAAACGATATTTATTTTTTTCTGTTTTGTCAGTTCTTTCAGTAGTATAATATTTAACTCGGCATATTTATCTTCCCAAGTTGTGCAAATGTGCATATCACCCTCTTGTTCGTCTTTGTATATGTTTCTATTTTTACTCCTATTTTGTTTACCCTTATTTTTAGGACCCAAATAATCCCTGCAAATTATCCCTTCATTATGAACTGATAAATAATCTATACAATTCATGTTGCTCTTCATAATATGAGCGGTGTGCTCTAACAAATAATTGCCATCCTTAGTTATATATTCAGTGCTTATCAAATCCTTGTTCACATAATTTAATTTCTCTAGGAGATATTCTATGTTATTTCTCCCTTTGGTGTCTTTTTTTTTATCCCATTTTCCCTCGATTCCATTTGATATATTACTATTTAGATCATCGCATGGTTTCAGCTTACCCTTGCCCTTACCACGTTGCTTAGGTCTAGGCCTACTTCTAGACCCACTTCTAGACCCACTTCTAGACCCACTTCTAGACCCACTTCTAGACTTACTACTTTTATTGCTACCATTCTTATCACTGTACGTGGTTCCATGTTTAATACCGTCTTCATTCTTGTCTTTCTTTTTTTTTCCCTTTTCCCCATTTCCTTCACCCAAAAAATTGTTCACTGTAAAATTTCTTACTCGGGTGACTTTTCTTGCATGATTCAAATATGAATTTCTTTTTCTCCCTTTGTTTTTATTCGTTCTAAAATTTCCAAATGTTCTTAAAAGGTTCTTGTCCTTATCTACTTCAAAAAAGGGGAACTCATCACTATGTCTTTCCATTGTAATTTGTTCTTTTTTTGATTCATTGTTTTCTTCCCTTTCGTGGGATATTGTATTTTTGTGCTCGAACTTCTCATTAGAGCCTTTTGTGCTCCATGTTTTTTCCGATTCTATTACATCCAACTCCTCATCTCCAACAGTCTCTTCACATATTTGATTCTGAACTGTATCTTCCATCTCTTGTTGATTCCTATGCTCATCTTTATATTTCTTCTCATTCTCAAATTCAGTTATTGTAGGTACTTTATAGGAATTTGCTCTTTTCATTTTTGTTACTTTTTCTTCTTCTCCTTCTTCCGCTTCTTCTGTGTGTGCACATGGATCATCATGAGCTGTTCCTTTTTGCATATGACCAAAAGGTTTGTTCTTTTTTCCCGAAGCTACTGTTGTAATTGCCCCAAACTTTACCAAATGGTCGTTCTGGTAAGTTTTTTCTATTTTAAAATCCTCCTCCTTAATATTAATATTATTTGTCGTGTCCATAGTAATGTAAGCATATAAATAATTACTTCCACTTCCTACAAAGTTATACTTGATGCCTTTATTTTTGGTATTTTTATCATAATACAATTTTGTATGTAGAAATTTATTCATGTAGTGTATCTTCCTAGAGGAGTCAAATAAAAATAATTTTTCATTTTCTGTCAATATGATAATGTTATCTTCATTGCATGAAAATTGTTTAATACGTAAATTTTCTGTGTTGCTCATTTTTTTTATCCCTGAAATATTATTTCCCCATATGTAAAAAATATGATCTTTTGTTAAACAGGCTGAGAATAATTTACCAAGTGATACTTTTACAATTATATCATTTTTTGGAAAATTAACTTTTTTAATTTTATAAGTTGATTTGTTACATTTTTTTCCCAGTTCTCCATTTTCATTGTATCCCCAGGTATATAATTTTCCTTCCTTTGTTATAAGGGCATTGTGATCGTAGCTGGAATGGATGCTACTTATGTTCATCTTTTTTTTTAATTCTATTTTTTTGGGGAAATAGACATTTTCTTCCTTTTTGAACCCTAATTTTCCGTTGGATCCGGAGCCACAGGCATAAATGTGGAAGCTTGGATCGTCTTTCGCAGGGAAAAATTTATCGTGATTCTCTCCGTTCTCAGTTTCTTTATCGTCTGAGTTGTCTGCATCCGAATTATCTGCATCCGAGTCAGGTTCCCCCTCCTCCATCACTGCCGTAACAAAACTGGGTGTGATCTTCCCCTTCAGATTTCCATCATCTACACCATCATTAACATTTATATCAAGTTCTTTGAGGCAGCTTTTGCTCATTTCCTTTTTTTCTTTTATAATATTATTACTCAATGGATGTTCCTTCACCTTAACTTCATGTTCATTAAAATGGCTTTCCACCTTTTTACCTTCACATTCAGTTAAAAAAAGAGAATGATATTTTCCACATGCAACATCGACAACTGTCTCATTAAAATAGATGAGTAATGGCATTGAAATTTCATCCGTGCTATTTCCTATTCCTAATTGACCATACTTGTTATTTCCCCATACAAAAATATTGTGGTTACACATTAAGGCAATTATATGTTCATACCCACAAGATATTTTATTTACTTTCTGCTTAGACAAAATTGGATTTATTGTTAATTTATTTCTATTCGTTTTATCTCCTAGTCCCAACTGCCCATAATTATTTAGACCCACAATTTCAAAATCATCATTTTGATATATAATTATTATATTATTTGGACCGCTGTATATGTCTTTAATCTCTGCAGGATTTTTAATGTTAATCAGGGAAAATTTCTGCTTCCTTTCTACTAAAAATTCCTACAAAAAAAAAAAAAAAAAAAAAAAAAAAAAGGCGAAGATCGTTATCAATACACAAGATTACACAAATTTGAATTTGTAGTAGCAAATGGCTGTTGTGTTCAGTTGCTACATGTCCATGAATACATAGCTGTCATTTTTTTTTCCGAAATATGCTGTAGCACGTGTTCATACACGAACAGGAGAAAAAAGGCTAGCCAGGGTACCTCACGATAGTAGTTAATTATTGGATGCTATCAAAATGTGGTTAACGAACTCATATGCACATGAGCAAAAGTGTAAACTAACAAGAGAATGAGCGCACATTCGGGACATGCACTTTCGCTACCTTACATTTGTTCCATAAATAAGGAGCCGATTTTTCCCATGCCCTTGTCCCATAATTCCAAAAGATTAATTCTCATAAGCTTTATGCCGCAAAGGCAGGGAAAAAACAAAAAAAAAAAAAAAAAAATAGGAACATTCAGGCATAACACATTCATTTTGCACAACATGTGTGTGCGTTAGCATGTTTTCGTAGTGGACTCCGTACTAGTTCTGAAAATACTTTTTTTTTTATTTTTTTTTCTTTATTCTGTTTGGTTAGTTCTGCTTGGTTAGTTTTGCTTTATTTTATTTTATTCTTTTATTTCCTAGAATGGAGGAGTGATGAAAAATAGACCTAATAATTCGGTGAACTGTGTTTAACATTGTGCATACTTCCAAGCCGTACGCGCTTTACCTACGTGCGAGTAACTGCCTGCTTTTTGAGATGTTTTTTTTTTTTTTACCTCTTGTGAAGAGTCTTGGAGAATTAAGATCTCTACAATTTCACTTCCTTTTACAAAAGAACATGACTTTTTTATTTTCATTTTACTTTTGAAAATACATAACGTTTAAAAAGGAAAAGAAGCTAGGGGAAGGGGAGAATCATTCCTCCTCTCACACCAATGACACACATACACATACACACAAACCTACCTAAAAACGTTCCTTTTTGCTCCAATTTAACAAAAGTGTGTCATCAAATTTATCGTAGCATTTAATAAAAATAAAACTCTCCATGAATTAAAAAAAAATATTAATTGCTAAACTTTTTTCAAAATGGTAAACATACTTACAGTTGAATATAAAATTTTCACAAAATAACATCTCATATGTGAATGGGGAAAAAAAAAAAAAAAAAAAAAAAAAAAAATTCATCAGTGAGATGCCTGAATAAATGAGTTATACATGTTTATGTTTGACAAATGAATTTAAAAATTGTGGGTGACACTACATGAATTGTATGGTAGATAAAAGAGCCCCCAAAGTACCAAAAAAAAAAAAAAAAGAAAAGAAAAGATAAGGTACGATACGATATGAAAAGAAAAGCATGATAAAAATTATAAGCTTATAAATGTGTGACCCTGTTGGGAATGCTTATTCACGCATACATTTTAAGAAAAGGGTTCAAGCGTAACAATAACAACAACAAAAAAAAAAAAAAAAAGTGTGAAAATGTGTGAAAATGTGCGAAAATGTGAGAAAATGTGGGCAAATTTGTGAAAAATTGTGAAAATATGCGAAAATGTTAGAAAATGTGGGCAAATTTGTGAAAAATTGTGAAAATATGCGAAAATGTGCGAAAAAATATAAGATAATTTGCTTTGAAAAATTATAAACAAAATTACCTGCATGAATAGTGAACAGGTCGGAGGAAGGACACATAAGGGGAAGCATCCCCCTAGGTCGTTTTTGAGGCATATTTGGAAGAAAATGTCATATATGCTGAAAGTATAAAATCAGCAACAAATGCTAAAAGACAGATAAAATTATTTGATAAATATATGTAGAGAATTTCATGCATGTTACAGAACCATTTAGTTTCATGCGTATTGGAAGGTGCAATTGGATCATCAGAATCAGGTGCTTTGTCATGGTGATTTTGGCCCATTTGTAAATACTCTTCATATGAACAAAAGAAAAGATTTCCTTCAAGTAGATAACTCGAATATAATACTTGACTAACTATAAAAATTAATGTACATGCATTTGTTAAGATGCTAACCAAAAGATAAAATTTACATGTTCTTAGAATTCCATACATATCATAATAACACAAAAGGGAAAATAAAATTGCAGAAACAATGGTACTCACAATAAGTAGCTGTAAATAATAATTCTTCTGCTTTTGAGTTGAATAAATAATTATTTTAACAGTATCACTATATTTATTTAAATCATAAACATTGTATTCTGATAAGGTTTCCTTAAAAAAACGTCTTGTTTTTAAAAATATATAAAAGAGTGCCAAGTACATATATGCTGTAAATAATTTTATATAAAATAAACAAAATTTTTTTCGAAAAGCTCTATCTGTATTAAGGTACATGGCCATAAATTCAATTATTAACATAATCATAAAAATCGATAGAAATATAAATGCATAATTATGCATATGACATAAGTTATTTCCTGAATTTATAAACAAATCGTTTTTATTATAATTACGAAACCAGTATATATAATTCTCTATATTACAAAAAAATAATCGATTTTCCAAATTTTGAATAAAAATTAGGGATATAAATAATATGTCTAAATGTAAACTTATAAGTCTTATGTATTTCTTGTAACTAACTAATTTTATGCATAAACATGTTATCCGAAAATTTGAAAGTATTTTCATTAAGTTCAGAAAAATTAAAAAACATCCACATATAACATTTATTATACTAAATGGTTTATAATAATTCACAAATATTTTATCATCCTTCAGGATATTTTCTGCCCCATCTTTTATATCATACTGAGCTTTTTCTTCTTCACTCAATGTCAAAAAATTCCTTGTTAAGAAGTTAAAAAGTATTACATATGTTATGGTAGTAATTACTGACAAAATTCTAATTCCTACAAGAGCATACTCCGGCTTCTTAACTTCTTTGTGTATGCTTATCGATGAGACATAAGTCCCCTTCATCTTGGGGATCCCTCTTTTATTCGTCTATTCGGCACTATTGTCCAATACCACTTTTGTGACCTCTTTAAGTTTTCTTGTGGTTTCAAGGTTATCACATTTGTCACACTTCATACACTACTGACACTTCTTACACTACTGGAACTTCTTACACTACTGACACTTCTTACACTACTGGAACTTCTTACACTACTGACACTTCTTACACTACTGGAACTTCTTACACTACTGACACTTCTTACACTGCTGACACTTCTTACACTACTGACACTTCTTACACTACTGACACTTCTTACACTACTGACACTTCTTACACTACTGACACTTCTTACACTACTGACACTTCTTACACTACTGACACTTCTTACCTTCAGCGGATTTTCTGCACCTAGCGCTATTTATAAAAATCCAAACAGCGCCTCCAAAAAAAAAATATATTTATATCAATTTTTGTTGCTTTCGAAAAATAGAAATGCTCTTCACATTTTTTGAATTTTTTTCTTTTGTATAAATAATCAGGGTGAAAAAAAAAAAAAAAAAGGAAAAAAGTCATTAAGTATAACTTTTTATATTTCATTCTTTTGTAAAAAAAAAAAAAAAAAAAAAGGCATAATATTATGTGCATGTGCACATAAATGTATAGTGGAGCATTTTTTATTTCATTTTTTTTCATTTTGTGTCATTCTGCATTATTTTATTTATTTATTTTTTTTTTTTTTTATTATTTCTTTTCTATTTTATTTTATTTATTTTCATTTTTTTTTTTTACTTCTCATTTTTACTTCTCATTTTTACGTCTCATTTTTACGTCCCATTTTTACTTCTCATTTTTACGTCTCATTTTTACGTCTCATTTTTACTACTCATTTTTACTTCTCATTTTTACTTCTCATTTTTACTTCTCATTTTTACTTCTCATTTTTATTTCTCATTTTTACTTCTCATTTTTTTTTATCCCTTTTTTTTTTGTGTTATCACACTCTGCTTCACTTGGATGCCTCTCTATTTTTTGGCAAAAAAAATTGACAATTATAAGTATTCCAAAAATTGTCACGCATAGCCAATACACATTCTGACATATCCTGGTGTATAAATATGATAAGGCTTAGCATATGTTAACGTATATATATATATATACATACTAATAAGAATTATATTATTCTTCTGCTATAACTGCTAACAAACCTTTAATAAATACTTACGTAATTCGAAAACATTTTTATTATATTTCTTTTTCATATAAGTTTTTTAAAAGTTTGGCAGATTTTACATCTTGTGCAGCTGAGCTGTGTATGTTCACTTTATATTTTTTTTCCCTATCCTGTACATGCATATATACATATGTGTGGAAATTATGTGTACAAAAAAAAAAAATAGAAGATTTTGGACTTGCGAAAAAAGAATTACTTGAAGGATACCTCTTAGTCTTATGACATATCAATTGTACACGCACGTTCATACATTATGTATATATCAATGTATAAGTTTTCTTCTAATTTGACGTTTTTTTTTAAAATTTCACAAAGGAGTATAAATATGTTTATCTCTATTTATAGATAGTGCTGTACAAAGTAATTTAGTGAGCTCAAGCACGATTGCACATTTTTATGCAACAGTTATTCGATTTTTTTTTTTTTTTTTTTTTTTTTTTTACATTCTTGAAATTAGTAGAATTATATGTACTATACTCTGAAAGAAATAGATGCTTTCTCACGGGAGCGTTTGCGTATCAAAAATTTTTGTAACACCAGTGTGTAGTTTCATATGAATGTGCACACACGCATGTGTAAAGGTGGACATATATATATATACATACATACATACATATATACATATGTATGGTTACAAACCGCCTTTGTGCTAACTGCAGAACGCACATCTCTTCACAACTGAATGGGACAAGAAAGAGTTGTCTTAAATATAGAAACTTTAAAAAAAAAAAAAAAAAATGCAAAGTGTGTAAAGGTGACACGATTAAAGTGGAAACACAATTTTAAAATCTAAAAAAAAAAAGAAAAAAATAAAAATAACCGCAATAATGCCAGCAATAATAATAAAAAGTGAATATAACTATGTGTTGTGTGAAAAAATGAAAATATGTTTAACAAATTTGATGCCACAAAGCATAAATAGACATACACGTCCGTCAAACTCTTTTTATTTCCCCCATATAGTGGATATTTATTTATTTTTTTTTTTCCCACCACCCCCCGTTTAATTTGTGTATTTTTTTAATATTTTACCTTTTAAACTATTTATGATATTGGAAAAAAAAAAAAAAAAAAAAGGAAAATAAACTGTTCCCCAAATGAAGACAAACGAAAGAACTCGAGTTTCACTCCAAGTAGAAAATTTTCTCAACAAATTGGAAATTAGGTATGATAAAAGATATCTATAATAATTCGTCAGACATACAGTTGAAATTCATAATCGGATGAGTCTAACAAAAGATATTAACCAGGTGCTTCAATTTTTCTACATCTATTGTTTTGTGCTCCTGTTTAAAAGCCTCATCAATGATACTTTTATGCCCTTTATCGTCTATTTTTACTAAGGTATAAATAACAGTAAAATAATTTATGCATTTTTTTTGAAATTCAGTTTCTTGAAATAAATTATCATTTATGTTGATTATTTCATTTTCGTCGCCCATTTGATTTAATAATTTATCTATTTTTTTTTGTTTTTTCCTATTCTTTTCATTGCTTGTCATGTCATGTAATAAATTAATTCCCATCTTGTTATCACCATTTTCATGATCTCCATTTTCTGCTTCTGACCCTGTTTTTGTTGTTTCATCCGTCCCAACACCATATAAAGTAATTTGCATTGAGGTATTTCCATAATTAGTTACACCTCCAATAATTTTATAAATGTTTTCATATTTCAGCGGTTTATTATATGTTATGTCAATATGACGAACTACATAATTCAGCTGTTGTGCATCCAGAGCTGACATTTTAAGAAGATAACAAATGACTGAATTTCCACAATGTTTTATTTGATTTGAATGAAACATAATTTTAAGTATATCCAAATCTGAAAACTTCACTTTTCTTGGTTCATATAACAATGTGTATATATTCCCATCTATCATGATTTTCAAATTTTTTGATTCTCCAACCCAATTTACAAGGCACAGAAAAAGTAAACAAAGGATCATTATCACACGTGGTAATGCCATCTTTTTGTCCCTGATTTTATTCAGAAATGAAATGGAATTTTCAGTAGACAAATTTTCTACTATTTCACAAAACTCCAATGCAGTTCGTGCTTTTCTCAAGGGGGAAGGTTCATCTGACACGATGGATGTTTGTAAACATTGATAAAATATTTGTACATATATTTATTTAAGATTTCTTGCAAAGCTGAACAAGCATACATGTATTAGCATCGTCATATGCATACACTCCCATCACTCTGCATCTCCCTTAACCGCCCTCTCTAATGTACCAAATCAAGTTAAGAAAAGACACTCACATTATGCCAACAAGTGCACAATTAGACAATCCCCCCGTGAGTGTTCCGTTTTTTTTTTTTTTTTTTTTTTTCCCATTTGTTTCATTTTTTTCACAGATTTATGCCTGCTTTATCTGATTCAATACCACACCAAACGGTTCAATTAAAAGATAGATTTATTTCCTTTTTATAAGCATAATGGGGTAAGTTTTTAAAATGGTTTGCGTTCGTTAAAAAAAGGTGCAATTAGGAAATACACATGGTGAGAAATAGTTATGCAGTATAGGAGGAAAAAAAAATTAGCAAATATGGGGCAAATATGGGGAAAAAATGGGGTAAATATGGGGCAAATATGGGGAAAAAATGGGGCAAATATGGGGAAAAAATGGGGCAAATATGGGTCAGAAATGTGGGAAAAATATTGGGCAGAAATGTGGGAAAAATATTGGGCAAAATAACACAAGGACGAAAAAATTACGGGTGGGTGCACCCCAGAATGAGTGCATGATAATGCACCAAGTAAACAAACCCGCGATTGTGTAAATTAATTTCTTCATCCTTGTGCATATGGAGGTATCTACAAAAAATGTCATCATCCAGTGACAATGGTAATAATGATTTATATATTAGTTCTTTTTTTTTTTTTTTTTTTTTTTTTCTTTTATTCCCATTTAACAAAAGACACTAACAAGCTGTTTCAATTTTTCATTTTCAATTGGTGGAAACAAATTTTTATATTTTTCCTTAATAGGCAATTTAGCTCCATCTTCATTTATTTGAACTAAGGTATAATGAATAGTAAAATAAGTTTGACATTTTTTCTGGGATGCTATATCTTTAATTTCATCCCTACTTAATTTGATAATTATGTCTTCATTATTTTCTTTGCGTTTGTCTAGGTAGCTAAAAATATCTTTCTCAACTTTGGTTATCTTTTTGTTTTGTTTCCTTTTTTCAATCACTTCACTGTTATGCTTACTGCTTAACTTGTCCTCATACGCAAAAGCACCATTACGCAATATATTTTTGACATCCATGTTTGTATTTCCATTTTTGCTTGCTGAACTTGTTCCAAACAAAATTACCTTGAGGGAGGTTTTTCCATAGGATGTTATGCCACCTATTATTTTGTACTCGTCATCATATGTAAGTGGTTTATCATATGTTATATCAACCCGTTTCACAACATAAATCATTTTATTTAATTTTTTTGAAGTCATTTTTATTAAATAACGAATAAGGGAATTTCCTGAATGTTTCACATGATTTGAGTGAAACATAATGTTTAGAGGATCCAAATCTGAGAATTTTACTTTTTTACGCTCATATAAAACAGTGTACACTTTTCCATCTAATTCCACATTCATATTCTTTGTTTCTACCTTATGACAAGGAAAGAAAAGTGTGTATGCTAACAGTTTTACACACAGTGATAGTGCAATTAGTGATTTCTTCATCTTCGCCGTTCAAAGCGCGGGAAAAAAATTGAAATAAAAATAAATAAACAAACAAACAAGAAAAGAAACAAACAAGAAAAGAAACAAACAAATGAACAAGCAAGCAAGCAAACACACAAACAAACAAATGAACAAACAAGTAGGCAATTATAACGAGGAATATAATTTTATGTAGATCTATGTCTAAAGAAATTTCAAAACTTTTTCTAAGGTAAACATTGTATACGAGTGAAATTAACACAAGAGAGGTTTTTATGTGGATTATTTTAGTGTAACTTAGGGTAACGGTAGTAAGTTACCTAATTCTGCTAGTAGTACATAAAATGATAAGTAATTTGTATTCTATCAAATCTTATTTTAGGAAAATTTTTTTTTTTTTTTTTTTTTCCTTTCTTTTATTTTTTTACCTTTTCGAATTTCTTTCTTATTTAGTCTGAGCTTAAAAATATGGTAATATTTTAGGGCTAGTCTAGGAAAGGTACATTATCCCCGATTACAAAATTGCATCGGATTAATGTTATTATTATTTTTTTTTTTTATACAAGTCAAATTGAGAAAAGAAACGTTCTTTTTGTTTCCTCAGTATTTTTCAGAACTACTCATTAACATTTGTGAAAAAAAAAAAAAAAAAAAAAAAAAAAAAAAAAAAAAAAAGTAGTCTTCTCATATTGTTTGAAGGTTAACCTATTGTTTCTGTTTCTTATAGGGTATAGTAGTACATACATGGGATGGGAAATTCTATTATTTAAAAAAAGGAGGGAATTTTTTTCCAGAATGATAGGGGAAAAAATATAAAATAACATTCATTAATACATACGTATGTATAATAATAATTTCTGCACATGTGTAGCATAGGTGTGATGAACATACTTCTTAGTTTTAATATCCTAATCATATGACTATCTCACTTAGGGAAGTTCCCCGAATATATTAGAACTCGTTTCTGGTACAAAATATTATAAACGTAAATTTTTATTCTTAAAGGTAAATTCCAAGAATTAAGCGAGGTTTAAACTATCTCCTTACACATAAAAACAGGAAGAATTAATTTTTTTCCTGTTCCTTGGAAAGTGGCATTATGTTTAGTATGCTCATTTGGGAAAAGAGAAGATTAGACAAGAACGGGAGAAAAAAGAAAAAAAAAAAAAAAAAAAAAAAAAAAAAAAAACAAAGAAAAAAAAAAAAAAAAAAACAAAAAAAAAAAAAAAAAAAAAAAATGGAAAAAACAATAAAAAACCCAAAAAAAAAAAACAAAAAAAAAAAAAAAAAAAAAAAAAAAAAAAAAAAATTAAGAAGCGGGGGTTAAGAAACGTAACTTGAAAAAAAGGGGAAAATAAACTCTGTACTCTAGCCTCAAAGTCTACACTAAAAATAAATTTCTATCCGCTAAAAATGTATAAATAAAACTAAAATAGTAATAATGATAATAGTGGTAATTGTGGTAGTTGTGGTAATTGTGGTAATATAATAATTCCTTAATAAAATAGATACTAACAATATAGGAAAAAATCATAGAATTTCTAATATATATATATTTTTCTTGTTATCAATATGCTTCAAAATGAGGAACAGTTGCGTCTGTTCACTTTTCCTTCCATTGGAATAAATAAATATACGGATGTAATTTTATTTATGATTTTGTTTTGGCATTTTTTTTCTTTTTTCCTTCATATTTTATTCCTACTTTTGAACGACCTATAAAGGGAAAAAGTGGGTATGTTATATTAGTACATCATTTGTCAGAATTTTGAAATGTAGAAGCGCACACATACGTGTGTACGTACATTTAAGCATGTGGGAAAAGGGGCTTCATTTGTTTTATTTCATTTGTTTATTTATTTATTAGTTAATTATTTATTATTTATTAGTTAATTATTTATTAGGTAATTATTTATTATTTATTTACTTATTATTAATTTTTTTTTTAAGGGGTACACGCCCAAGGAGTAAATTTTTATTAGACCTTCCCATGTAATGCATAAATTTATGAACACAAATAAGAAGCATCATAACGTTCAAAAAATCTCATTTATGCTGACTCTGCATAATTATACACATGTTCGAGGCATACTTTATTTGTCAACTTTGGTATAAAATTTAAAAATCTCTTACTCAGACGCATATTTCGTGTAGCAAGACTTAATAGATGTGGCGATAGGAAGGAACTTTTTTTGCCATCCCAATTTTGCTAGCCCAATTTTGCTTCCCCCATTTTACTACCATCATTTTGCTTCCCCCATTTTGCTACTCCCATTTTGGTACGCCCCTTTTGCTAGTCTTTTTTTTTCCTTCCTCTCCTTGTTCAGCTTTAGTTTGAGCAGGTGTCTTTCATCATGAATTCTAAATTGGCAAAGAACAGAGGGGTTAAAATAAGAGTACATTTAGTGCGAACACAACGACTGAAGGTGTGTATAAATTTATGCAAAAATAGATAGATAGATAGATAGATAAATAGATAGATAAATAAATGAGCAAATCTAAAGTATACACCAATTTGAACATATAATATACACATGTTTTTCTACTGTCATTTAATTTTTACTTGTAAAAATCCTTCGTTTTTGAAAGAAGTTGCATTTCCTCTTTTAGTTTTTTCGGATGATCATTATTTATTTTGCTTTCGATTTCCCTGATGGAAAGACGATGATGATTATGATGATGAATAAGAGTTATAAATTTTTTCGTTGAGTGTTATGTGTTATTGTTTATAGATATCATGTCTATTCATGGGTAAGCCTCTATATCAACACACATATGCTTATATACACCCATTTGCATGAATATTGTACAGATGAAATGTCTATGCATACATATGGAGCTCATACTCTGGCAATTGCAAGGAGTCCTGGCGCCAATACAAAGAGTTGGAAGCGCAGGTTTTTTTTTTTAATTGAATTAATTTATTATTAAGATAAATAGATATGTTTTGATCATCCACAATTTTGGCACAAATAAAAATAGTGTCTCCTTTTATTATTTTTAAAAATAAATTGTCAAAAAAGTTAATGAAATTTATCCAATTGTTGAACACTTTATATACTGATATCCCTGATGTTATAATTTTATATGGATAATATGTATACTCAAATATGTTTTTATATATATCTTTAATATTTAAAACACATTTATTATTTTGTAAATATTTAAATAGATTTAAAGCAATATTTATAACACTATAATTATAATGGTCTTGTTTAAAAAAATAATTATAATAATTTGACTTGTTGCTGTACAAACTTTTAAACTTTAATATTTTATATTGTAAAGATGCGGGAAATCTTATATTTATATTTCGAATACATTTATACATGTCCTTTTTATTGTGAAATGTAGCATAGCATATGTTGTTGTTAATATATGGGTCGTTTCTGTTGCTTAAGCATCTTATTATTTTTAGCCTTCCATATTTGTTTAAGCTTTTTCTCAACCGTTCCTGGATATATTCATTAGTTTTGTTATTGGGAAGATTCGTAATTTCAATTGTGTTTTCTCCATATATGTACATGTATTCGTATCTATTGTGAGAATGTGGGGCGATAAAAGGTGGGTACAACATTGCATATAGCTGAATATATATATATATGTGTATATGTGTGTATATGTGCATGCGTGTGTGCTTCTCCTTTTTTCCTCAATTGCACATAACAGCATTGTTCACAATCGAAGACGTGCAGGGATGCTTGATGTACATGTGTTCACAAACTTAACATTTTTTTTTTTTTTCTTATCATCATGACGTTATTTAGAAAATAACATTTTTTTTTTTTTTTTTTTATTTGATTACCCAGACTTGGGTGTGTTGTATCTCCAGTCGATAAAGCTTTTTGAATTTTTAGAATACAATGGTTGATGAAACAAAGTGGTGTCTTTTTTTTTTTGTTTCTTTTTTTCAATGTAGCATTTTATTTTGCTTCCTCCTGCGTACTTATGAAAGAACCTTTTAAATATCATCATTCCTGAAATGAAATTGAATATTCTCAAAAGAAACTCTTCATGGCATTTAAGAATTTCCCGTTATACATGAACAAAACAAAAGGGGTGCTCTGTGTTTTTACACGTATGTTTCATCCTTCCTGCTCTCTTTTTATTTTTTTTATTTATTCATTTATTTTTATTCTATTCTGTTTTATTTTTATTTTTTTCACTCCAAAAATTAACTGCACTCAGTATAAACATCTCTCTATCGAGTTACACATTTAAAGCTAAAGTATTGCGTAGTAGTTTTGTGTTAATAAGGGCGGAATAAAAAAAAAAAAAAAAAAAAAAAAAAAAAAAAAAAAAAACTGTTTTTCGTGCTGAGTACTATTGACGTGTAGTTTTTACTGATCATAAAATAAAGGAAAGAATCACGATAGATCATTGTTGCTAGTAGTATTTTAAAATATAACCGTTTGTGACGCAGTTAAAAAAATGATTTGCACTTTTTCTCTTCTCGTAAAAAAATATCGAAGACCTTGTCGTGATTAAAAACAAAAATAAGCCAAGAATGGAAACCAAAAATTGATAAAAGGGACATGCAAAGGAGAGGGGGGGGGGCGCAATCAGCAAGGCAGATAAGTGAGGAAATAAATGTGGCAATAAATGTGGCAATAAATGTGGCAACAAATGAGGCAATAAATGAGGCAATAAATGAGGCAATAAATGAGGCAATAAATGAGGCAATAAATAATCCAATATATAAGGTAATAAATTTGTCATAAAAAATTCACGTGCGCAAAGACAGCACAAGGCAAAGGCGAAAAGCAAAAAATAAAAGGCGCTTGCATTAATATTTACATAGATACGCGAAAGCATGTGTATTTAAATTAAATAACTTATGTTGAAATATGTGTAAAAAAAAAAAAAAAAAATGAACTGACTTAAGAACGGATAAACGATATAACAAATATGTAGAAAAATGAAAAACCAATAAGGAGAAATAAAGAAAAAAGGAAAAAAAAAAAAAAAAAAAAAAAATAGGCCCTATCTTGTCTGCACACAGTTTGAATGAGGACTGTTTTTTTTTTTTTTTTTTTTTTTTTTTTATATTTTTTTTTATGCTATTCAAAAGGACAAGCTCTTGTAAAAGTAGAAATATATTAAGTCACATTTTTTGTCCATTTATAGAAAATAATTAGTAGTTTTAATAAAAATAAAAAGTATAGAATGGAAGGAAAAAGTAATTTTCCCAATTTTGAACGCTATAAAAAAATATATATATATATCATGATCAATTTTGACCTTCTGTGAAGCAGGTTTTTCTGGGCTTCTTGTTCATCAGGAGGATTAAAAACAATTTGAATTTGACAACATTTATATAGACACACATATATATGTACATTCACATGCTCATACATACGTGAATAAAATGGAAAAAGGCAACAAAAGGAAAATAAAAGATAACAACATGAACAAAGATGAGAACGAAACGAATGAAAAAAAGAAAAAGAAAAGTAAAGTGGAACCGAAATGTACAAATGAAATGTTTCATAATTGCCTGAACGTTCATAACAATGTGTTCATGAAATTTTTTAACGAAAATAAACGAAAATTTGAAAAAGTTGATAATATTGAAAACATGTATAGAAAGATAAAGACAAGTATTATTTCTCTAAACGTGTCAAATGTGTTAATGGAACACTATGTTTCTTTTATTTATTATGAAAAAAATAAAATCGATTTTCTTCTCCCAGAGTTGGATAGTATAATTAATTCGTCCAATATAGACGTGCTGAAGAATCTAAGTGATTTATCCTTTTACCCAATTTACAACGAAACAGTTAAAAATGAAGAGAAAAAAAAAAAAAAAAAAAAAAAAAAAAAAAGGAAATTTACACAAGCATGTAGTGATACCTGAATAGCTTTTAAAAATATGTGTACATATTTTTAAGGCAATATGTTCTAGTTTTAACTAAGAGTAAACTTTAAAATTACATTAGATTCCCAGTTATGAACTTTACTTTTATTGTATGCAAGAATGGGTATTTACGTGTATTGCAATTTACAATTATAAATCCACACCCAAAGAATTCACTAGTTCTGAGATATATTTCGCTTCACTGTAGTAATTATGAGAATTAATTTTTGTGCCTATTCTCCAAATTGCAGCAACGATTTGTAGTTTGCATATAATTGCACCATTACATTTTATTTCACTACAAATCATGTCGCTTCATTTTGTTTTATATCATTCCGATCGAAGCTGCGAAAAAGAATTATGGAATGGCTAGTTAAGGATCGAGGAAAAAGCGAAAATAACAATGAAGATGGCGATAATATGAACGTGTCTTATTGGTTTAGTCTGAACCTCCTTCTGACTTATATAATTTACAAAAATGACGAATACTCCAGTTTTTCTTCCTTGATTCATCTTAATTTATGCCAGGTATATCAATATATGGATAGACATAGACAGATGTATGTAAACCTGATATGTTGTTTAATATTGTAAGGTAGTTATATGAACACTACCGATACGACTATTAGTACAGTTGTGTTTTTCTCTTTGTCTCACATTCCATGTGAACCCCCCACGCACACAAATATATACATATACATATACACACGTATACACATATACATGATACAGTGGATGCAAAATGACAAAAGACGGTTACACTTTCGACTGTTTACACTAAAAGGAATTCTGAAGAGATTCCTGAATTGTTCCTTTTATTTCAATGATAAAGAAATAGCGAAGCTGAAAAAAGTGCAGGACGAGTGCACATTAAAAGGTATGATCTATTTTAAGCATAAAAAAAAGGGAGAAAAAAAACAAAATTACCTATGAGAAGTGACTATTAGATACAGACACAAATATATATGGTCTGAGAATATCCTATGAGACTTGTACACGAACTATGCATACAATGCATACGTGTGTTTCATTTACCCTTTGCATACATCACAATGTATATGCCTGATCTGTGTCTGTGCTCCATTCTGTACGCACACATGTGTGCATAGATATATATACATGTTAGCATATATTTTCCCCCTTGCTTGAAGAAAACGAATCGATGGCTTTAAAAACCATATTGATGATTCTACATGAAAGCGTTGAGTACCTAGATGTAAGCAACCTGGTTGACATAAATGACAAGAATTGTATTTTTGAATTGATTAAATTTTTTATTGAATTGGTAAAAAAGCCACTAATTCATTCAATTCATATACTATGTATTAATTACCTAATAAAAATTGTAAAAAAATGTTATGATTTGAGGCTGACTTATAATATTAATGTAGAATTATACGATATCGGGCCGCATGTTAACATTTTTGTCAAAATTGTGAATTTAATTTTTGCTAAAATTTTATTACTCCTAAAAGATACAAAAAATGAAGAAAGCACATATTGCATCGAAGAAATAAATAATATGAACAATTTAATTATTTTATTTTTTACGAATATTTTAAATAACTGTATCCGAATTATTATACCAGAAGTTTTATTTAATGATCAACTCAAGCATGATTACTTGTCTCGCAATGAAAGGTTGAACGACAGTATGGAAGTTAAAAATGTAGAATATCAAGTTGTGGCAAATGCATGTAAGAAGAGGAAAAATAAATCTCCTTAATATATGTACACTTGATATGTGCATACACAAAATATGTTTTCATTTGAGATATTAGAACAACTGCCCAATTGGGCATATTCTCATTATTCGGATAAGACACTTTGCAAAATTTGTTTAACAAAAAAAATTCCGATTATGACACATTTTTCCATTTTAAACGAAAATTATTCCTTCCCTCCCATTCTCTCTCCATTTATGTTATTCCATTTTATTCTATTTTATTTTGTTCTATTCTATTTTATTTTATTTTTGCAACTGCAGGCAATCCCGTGTTCTCTTTCATTGAGATATTGATAATTAACAACCATGATAGATATGAAAAGAATATATTCATTGATTTAATAATAGTATTAGTCAAGTTATGTAGAAAAATAGAAAATAAATATAACATAATGAAAATAATGTGCGACGAATTTAAGCTCTTTCTAAAGGGGGGTGACAGCAAGAAAAAAGACATGAATGATTTGGATAAAAATTATTTAAAAGTGCATAAAATTAGCAAGAAGAGAATCGATTCTAATGCAAGCTTTACTCTCTCAGATGAGTATAGTTCCTCCGTATATTCTGAATCGGATCAGGAGCACGAATGTGCTGAAAGGGGTGGAGAAGATGGAAGAGATGGAGCTGATGGAAGCGATGGGAGTGGTGGAGAACTTGATGGGAAGATGCGTAAAGAAGTGCTAGATGCCGGAGAAGCTAAAGAAAAAGGAAAAGAATTGAAAGAAAGTGAGAGAAAAGGTTATAATAAAGTAAATAGAGGAAGTCTGACGAACCGAATAAAGAATAAAAGAAAGACAGTTTTAGTAGTGGATCACAAAACATACTCCATTACATACGAATCAGCAATGGTTAGATATTTAAATATTTTGATAAAATATATGAATTGCGAAAAATATCAAATAAGGAATACTACACTGGATTTGTTCTTAGCCTTGATTAAGAAAAAAAAAACTAATAGAAATGAATCAATTTTTCAGAAATTATTTGAATTATTTTTAGAAAGATTAGAAGATCCTAACATGGTTGTAAAGGCAAAGGCAATTTCTATTTTAGTCATAATGACTAATAGGAAATACCATAGTAATTCACTTATTTATAAATTTATATTTAATAAGACAAAGGAAAAAATAAACATGCATAAAATTATATCAGCAAATATATTTAGTCATAGAAGTAACATCAGAAAATTAACCATACAATATATAGAGGCTATATTTGAAACATTAGTAGGGAAAAAATTAAATTATAAAATATTCTTGGTTTTTATTTCGAATTATATGTATTCTTTATCTCTAGATGCAATGTCTTCTGTGAGAAGACAGGTTTTATTAACTGTCAATAATTTTTTTATTATTAAAAGTGAGGATGTGTATATCACCAAGATGTGGATAGCCATCATTTTTGGGGCTATAACAGATATAGAAGAAACAATAAAAGATGAAACAATTTCAATTTTTTTAAACACGTTTTTAAAACCAGCATTTCAATGTTCACTTTTTAATCTAAGTGAAAATAAAATAAAACAAGTTTTAGACAAAAATAAGCTGACATATTTTAAGGCAAATAAACAGGTAAGTTCAGAACCCCCAAGTAGAGGAGTAGGAGGAGGAGGAAGAGGGGCACGCGTGAAAAATGGAAAAAAGATTTACGATGATGATCGTTATGGTAATGCGAATAATGATGGTGGTGATGATGATGGAGATGAAGATTATTGTGATTATTCAGACGAAACTATTGACAAGATTGCATTATCAACATCTACCAATGCAGACATAGTGAAGGATGTCACAAACGAAAAAGGGGATAGAGAAGAATGCGACAAAAATAATGAAGGGGTGTTACTTTTAATTGATACTTGGAAGACGTACTTTGAAAATGATATAAATAATTATTTTCTAACCATTTTAAAAACCATGACAAAGTATGATTTACAAAATTTTCATCTCATCATTTTTTTATTAAAGAGAAAGAAGAATAATACCCTCGAAGATTTTATCTGCCTTTTAAATTCTTTTATGTATAATTTGCGTTATTTTTCAATAAAAATGTGGAATATCTTTATTCTTGATTTTGTTATAGAATTATCCAGAGAATATCAAAAATACATAGACATTGAAAATGTTCTATTCCTCTTGAGTAGATGTTACAGAATATATCTCATGAGTACAGGTGACATGTACAATGCTGATGAGGTAATGCGAGGCAACGGGTTTGAAAATGGTAAAGGAGAAACAGTAGATCAATGTGAATGTGAAGAAGATGAGAAAAGTAAGGAAAATTCCAAAACAGACACACATGGATATCCATTAAAAGACGAATTCAATGATAACATCTTGTCGAAAGAAGACATGTTAGAAGAAATGAACACATGCAGTAAGGGAATTTTAAAGAATATCATGATGAAACTATTTACTATCGTTTATAATTTATTGGATAGCATTGATGAGCTGAATGAGGATTTGATGAAAAGAATGGAATACTCAATTTTACATTTCAAATGTCCTTTGTGCTTAATATATATAATTTTAAATATCTTAATTAAGAAGAAGAAGAAGGAGGAGGATGTGAAAGAATTTATTGATAAATTAAAATACAAAATATGTTTCTTTTTTGAAATAATAGAATCCATTCCTCACGATATGGTTTTTTGTAACATCTTAGTCACATTTATGTTTTTAATAAAGTATTTCAAGAAGGCCGACATGATGCCGTTTCTGATAACAGCTAGCCAAAAACTAAAAAAAATTCACAGTCATGGAATAAATGGTGTCGATAATGAAGATGATGGTGTTGGTGATGATGGTGTTAGTGATAATAATAGTAAGAATAATAATAGTGATAAAAATAAAAATAGTGATAACAATAAAAATTGTGAGAACAATAAAAATAGTGATAACAATAAAAATTGTGAGAACAATAAAAATTGTGAGAACAATAAAAATTGTGAGAACAATAAAAATTGTGAGAACAATATTTTTAACCATCATGATAGCAACATCGTTATGGTAAGGAACTGCATCTATTTAACACAAAGCGTTTTGTTAATAAACACGGGAGTAAACATTCGAAACGATCTCTTTTTAAATATAGAAAGAGAGTTAAAAAATAGCAAGACCTCTATGAATATACTAAACAATTTAATTATACTGACATATTACATGATTATAAATTTTGGTAGTTCGTGTAACAAATTTGTATTCATTCTTTTACGGTTTTTTAAACATGATAATTCTTTTATTAGATATTTGTCATTTTATATGATATCTAAATTAATATCAGAAGATTATGTAAAATTTAGTAACCATTTTTTTTTTGCTTTCTTGTACCTACTTGGAGACAAAAATGAAACGATTCGAAAACAATCTCTATCTGTTTTTAAGCACATACTTTTAATATATAATAAAACAAATTTGATAAATTATATTATAGAATTTATATTCGTTTTGAATAATTTTTACAATTTCAAACTTTGCAAACATTTAGCTAACATTGGTAATAACTATGAAATAAAAAATAAAAAAGACAGATATACAATTTATCACATTTTGTTGGAAAATCTTAATAATAATGAAAAGTTTTCATTACAACAGAAACTAATTAATGAATACCTAATTCAGTATGTTTATAATTATGATAACTTTTATTTTTCGGACGAGAATGTGAATGAGAAAAGAGGAAATAAACGAAATGTAATTCCATTAAATGATGAAGATAATGAAGGATCTGTTTTGCAAGATGTTCTAAATATCTTATCATCTAAATTAATGAAGATTAAAATTAAAAAAGATTTCTCTAAATTGGAAGAAAAAAATAAAATTATTAAAATTAGAAATGTAGAAAATAGTGTAAAAGTTCTTAATGATCTTATGAAAAATATTCTAAAAAAAAACACTCTCCCAATTTTATTATCCCTAAGAGCAATCATGCTAAAAGCAAAATCTTTTTTTTACAAGTACATGAATAATCTTATCATTTATTTATGTCTAGATTATAAGGATTCACTTGACGATCTTATCCCAGAAATACACACCAAAAATGAACTTCTCAACGATTTACAAAATTTTGTCTACGTGGATTTAATTCAGGTGAATACAGATCAAGATGATCCATTTAAACCAAATACAGAAATTGTAAACATCAATGTTAACTTTTTAGAATTATCTCAAAATCAGGTAATACAGCAGGACATCGCAAGGGAACATCAGAAAGAGATAGACAGAATAAGTGCCATGGATAACCAGTACAACGACAGTGCAAATGATTATGACGAGGTTCACAATGTGTTGCACGGGATTCACGACAACGTTGGCGTGTCTTCCAACAAAAGGAAAAAAGTTAAAAGGGGTGCTTAAGAGGGGTGCTTAAAAGGGGGTACTTAAAAGGGGGTACTTAAAAGGGGGCACTTAAAAGGGGGCACTTAAAAGGGGGGTACTTAAAAGGGGGTACTATAAAAAAGTCGAAAAATAAATAAGTGCAAAGTTTAGCAAAAAAAAAAAAAAAAAAAAGGTGAAATTTATGCCGCATAATTTGGAGCCACTTTAACAAAAATGGAAATATAATATTTCCCAGAGACATAAAAGTTGGCCAATCTTTTTCTTTTGACACATGCATGCCAGGAGTACGAGGAAATATGTGAAAGAACTTTTCTCCGTAGTTATATGCACTGCATAAAAAAAAAAAAATAAAGGATCATCTCCAAACTTTTCTTCAATGAGGGTGGGGGTATATTAATCTACATATGTTACTCGTTCAGACACGTGTTTTTCATTTCCAGATTAGACGGGTTTACTTTTTTTCTTGACCTCATTTGTGTTCAAAAACTTTAGATTGTTACTTGTAGAGGCGCATAATTTTTTGGCCATTTCCTCAATTTTGTCAATTTTAACTAATTTGCTTTTCTGTGAAAGAGGGGATGATGAAATGATGAGATGATGAAATGATGGAATGATACGCACACAATTTATACGAACATTTATGTATAAATGGATAAGAGCCGCATGAACTGAAGAACTCGTTGCGTAGCAGATCATGCTGTATATACTAACCTTTCTCAAACTTTTGACATCTATTTTGTCCTTACATTTTTTGGCCTTCTTTGACTTGTTTTTCCTTTCTGTTATTTTATTTTTCTTCACTTTAACTTTTAAGTTTTGCACCATTTTTTTTTTTTTTAGCTTCACTTTTTTTTTCACTTTTTTTTCATCCACTTTTTTATATTTTGCTTTCTTCCTTTTTTACCTTTTCACGTGGCCTCTTATGCTTCTCATATTTTTGTACATCCTTTAAGATGTATAGTTTGGAAACTGTTTTTTGCAATCTTGTAAGATTCTTCTCCTCGTATGGTAAACATGAAGATATGTAACGTTCGATCGGTTAAGAAGGAGAATTGGAAAATCGAGGTAGGCATGTCCCGTGATTATGCAAAAGGTTCCTGTGCTTTCATACATACATACATACGTTTGGGTAAAGCATATGTCCGAAGTTGAACGCAAAGTATGTGGGAAAAAATAAAAATAACAATGCAGGGATGCGTGTTTTACATATTTGCGGCAGAACGTGCTAGCCAAAATATATTAATAGCAAAAAAAAAATAAAATAAAATAAAATAAAACAATGAAGCGACAAAATAAATGATGTGATAAAATGATGTGATAAAATTATGTCATAAAATTACGTGATAAAATTATGTCATAAAATTACGTGATAAAATTACGTGATAAAATTATGTCATAAAATTACGTGATAAAATTACGTGATAAAATTATGTCATAAAATTACGTGATAAAATTACGTGATAAAATTATGTCATAAAATTACGTGATAAAATTATGTCATAAAGTTATGGATAAAATGATGTGATAAAATTATGAAGTAATAAAAAAAAAAATAAAATATAATTATGCACACGTAGGCGCAAAATGCCTGACAAAATATTTGCGGATCGAAAAACAGGAAATAAAAGGATGATCATGGAGGGGAAGAAGCAGGTAGCTAGGGACTGTGCATTTTTACATTATTTTTTAGAATAAGGACATTTTTATTTTATTTTGTGTTATTTTATTTTATGTTCTTTTCTTTTATTTATTTTTTTTTTATAATATTGACGAATTGCAAGGAATTAGAAAATGTTCATGGAACAATTCTTGCGATACGTGAGAATCTTTATATACACACTTCTACATGAGGAGAATCCTACATATATATTTAAATACAAGTATACATTCCAAACATTCTGTTGCAGTGGGCGAGAATTGGGCCACCACCATCCCTTTTCTCGTACATGAGTGAGACTATAATTATATACTTTTCCCGTTTAGAGTTTCCAGTTATTGAAAGGCTATAAAAATTATGAACGAGAAAATTCCTGATTTAATTGTTAAGCTTGAAAGAAAGGAAAAGGAGAGGTTAATAAGAAAAAGAAAAAAAAACATTAGCAAGAAGATATACAACAGAAGCAACTATAGCTTTATATATTTTCTTTTTTTATATAATGAAAATAACATAGTTGAGATCACAACGAATAATTTTGATGTTCTAAGAGGCTTAATTATCGAAATAAAAAAATACACGAACAATAACAAATTGAAAGGAATTATATTAACAAATGTCATCAAAAATAACCAATTTGGTGACAAATATACTTTTAAAAAGGTATATATTTCTTTGTCAAATATTATCACGTGCATGCCTGTTGTTCTTACTAATGGTAATGCAAATGTATCAATTAAAAGCAAATCAATTTCGAATGTTATTATCCATGGTTATAAAAATTTAATGCTCAATGAGATATATGAAAAGTTTAAAAAAATTGGGGGGTAGACCAATAAATGTTGAAAGCAAATGAACAGAAGCGGCCAAATCGGACAGGCATGCACGGAAAGGCGCTCAAAATGGAATAAACTACAGAACCGTTAAAACATGAAACAGTACTAAATTATGGAGATTCTTATAAATAGACATATATATATATATAGATATAGATATATATAGATATATATATATAGATATACACATTTACGACAGTCACGAGATGTTTAGAAATCTACGTTACCAAACGATTTTAATGCAAAAAATAAAAAAAATAAAATAACCGAATCATATGCCAAGACAGATTTATACATTAAAATTAATATGTCTTATGGTAACACAGGTAATCCAAATTAATCTTTTAAAAATTTATATAAAATTTTTATGACTGACAAGATAAAAATTATTTAACAAATTCATCCATAGACCTAGTACCATGTATTTATAAACATTTTTCCGAAAAATAACCCTCTCTTTTACTCCCCAAAAAAAAGAAAAAAAGGTCAGGGAAAGTAGTAAAAAAAAAAAAAAAAAAAAAAAAAAAAACTGTAAAATAATAGGAAAAAATACATGAACAATATAATTTAAAAAAAAATGTAGTCTTATAGCAAATTCAAAGAAATAAAAAAATGCAAAATACGAACCTTTTAATTGCAAACAAGAAATGGTGAATAAAAACACAAAAACATGAAATATAGAATAGAAGACTTGATATTAAGATATTTAAGAATGCCATAAAGAACAATACTAATTTTATCGCCTTTATATCGCTTTCATTTTCATTGATATAGTCACAATGTAGAATAATTTAAACCGGTGCTTACATTATTACCCCTATTGATATTGAACCAAATTGGAATAGTTTATAGGAGAAAATGACATTTCATCATAAATGTTTTGGAAGAATAAAAAGTTTTCGTTTTGTTATATTTTATACGTATATGTATATACGTGTAAACATTCCCTCTTTCTTTTTTTTTTTTTTTTTTTTTTTTGATGTTTCGTACCAGTTTGGGGCACACCTATATTACACTTGTCACTTTTCCCATCATGAGACATAACAACACGTTCCACAAATAGCGATAAGAGCAAAGGTCCTTCTCCGCTGCATTAAAAAATTTGCTTTTAATTCTGCAAGTATATGCTCGCTTTAGGAATCTCAAATGTTTTCCCATTTTTTGGAAATTATACGTAAAAAAATTATTTTATTTTTACAATTTCTGCCCTTTTTCCGTTTTTCCGTTTTTCCGTTTTTGCCGTTTTTGCAGTTTTTGCAATTTTTACAACTTTTATAATATATTTTTTTTCTCCAATTTAAAAAAAAAAGTTTAAAGATTAATAAAAAAAAAAAAAAAAAAAAAAATGGGAGGGAAGAACACTTCATTCAAGAATTAACATATGTGTATTAACAAGTATGTAGACACGCATACATATTTAAGCTTATGGAGAAAGGTGAAACGTTATTTATAAATTTGTTGATTTCGCCTTTTCCACAATGTCTTTTGCATTTTCTTCAGGTTTATAATTTGGCAAACCCATTGACTTTGATGTATTTTATTTAAAAGGTAAAAAGAAATTATTATAAAAAAAATACATATACATATACATATATATATATATATATATATATATATATATATATATAATAAAATAATAAATAAATACGTAATGACAATAAAAAGACAGTTTTTCTTCCGCTGTTTGGATGCTCACGTATCAGCATTTTCATAAGATGAAGGGAAATATTGCTTTTCTGTTTCTATGAAAAGGGGAAATAGCGCATGAGCTGGAGATTGGAACACTTGTATGGGTTATCAATCTTTTAGACACGTATGCTTCATACATGCGTTTAGGGTATGTTCATTCAAGTAATTCACGTATGCATTTTCAACACAGTTTTGTATATGCATTTTTTTACTTGGGATAATTAGGAAATTCTCTCTTGTAATTATTATGTTTTTTTAATGCCCAAATTGCCATCTGCGTTGTAGCAACTATGCTGAAAAGATAGCCTGCAAAAAAAAAAAAAAATTTCAAAATAAAAATAAAAAATGAAAATATGTGCCTCAGAAGCAATTCAATATAGTGTTGTACATGTTTAAGACTCATTTGTTAACTTTGAGACATGGAACATTTCTGCTTGTTATAAATGAAAATTTCCTTTTCTTTACCGGTTAATGTATTTATTATTAGTGCAAATATGATCCATATTAACGATTCATAAAAATAATTTGCACATGAAATGTAACTGAAGCCATATCCGTGTGGTATTCCTCTGTTTTTGGTACCTTCAAAAGGGATGTGTGTATGTGGGGGAGTAACATGAGATTATGTAACTATGTCGTGATTAAAGAAGTAATGTAATATGAGACGTACATAGGGATAAGAAACACACGTATTCATTTCAAAAGTCTACTAAGAAAATAATATGAACATGAGGGAATAACCCACAATTATACATAAATTCATACGGTTCCATGTTACAAACATCTCTAAAATGATTACACAATTGAATGTCTTACCTCTTGGTCTTAAATTTCTTAATATCAAGTGGCACTTTAAATTTAGAAATTCCAAAATCTACATAAAGGGGAAATATAAAAGTATAAATTTATGAACGTTCATACATTTTTTTTTTTTTTTTTTACTCCCGCTTCTTATGACATATTTAAGAGCACATTTAACTACATAATATAAGTTAACAAAAAAAAAAAAAAAAAAAATCTTCTTATATATTCTGCACGTGTGAACGAAATCTTACTAATAAGACAATAAAAATAGAATAGACTATGGCTGGTTTTGTTTCTATACAGTGTGGCTTATACAAGGGGTGAAAGAGGTAATAGCCAATATTTACGCCACATAATACCCTAAAAAGGAGAATGTACCAGGAGGAGGGGGGGGGGAGAATTCGAAATGAAGGGTAAAATATATGTATATATATACATACATATATATACATATACATATATACATACATATACATATATACATACATATACATATATACATACATATACATATATACATACATATACATACATATATATACATATATACATACATATACATACATATATATACATATATACATACATATACATACATATATACATACATATACATACATATATATATATGTGCACAGGGGGAAATGATTTTATTATATACAGGGACGGGCATCGTAGAGCGCTACAAAGGTAACAGGGGAAAATGATACACCTCTTGCATTTACTGCAAAGTAGTGTAACTTATCATGCAATGGGGGAAATTTACCAGTAGTGGCCACAATTTATAGGAACCCTAGTTATTGGCATAGTGGCATTGCTAAATCGATGCACAAACATAGATTCAAATTCTCTTTTCAAAAAATGGAATAACAAAAACCATAGGGATAAGCTGCATTCAGTTTTTGTAAACAAAAAAAAAAAAAAAAAAAAAAAGAAAGAAAGGGAAAAAGAAAGGGGAATATACAAATTTGTAATCAATTTTCGATGATGAACAGGAATTAATATATCCTTCATGTATTTCCAAAAAAAACAGGAGGTATAAATATACACAAGTATAATCTACATCTTGTGCACAAGCTTACATTTGAATAATGTTTTTATTTTTATTCGCTTGGGGATAAATATATTTGTCACAAAAATAAAAAAAAGGAAATATAAAAATTGGCCCCAGATATTCTATCACGTAAACTAGTCGCCATGATATCTGTACACCTATAGAGGGGAATTGTGGGATGTCTAATAAAGATTGAGACATTGTAAGAGTTTAGTTTAAAATGTCTCTACTTGAGAAAACACTTCAATAAGCACTCGAGAATCTATATGTGAGTGCATGAATGTGCATTGAATGGCCACATGTGCACATAGTCGAAGGCGCCCACCAAGATCCTTAAATATCAATATGTCACTATCTTTTATTCCATTTTCATTGAATGTTCCACTTTTTAGAGTTTTCCCTGCCGCTATAAAAAAAAATAAATAAAATAAAAGTGTAAGACCTTTTTGAATAGTAGTATCGCCATAACATTTTCGATTGTGCATTTTCTGTGATCATAGAAAAAGTTCAGTGACAAGTTTTTTCTCCATCCGAGTTCTCGATTGTATACATATATATGTATATATAATAATACTCACAAATAACGTTCACATATGTTCACGTTCCTGTTTGGGGCATATAACCCCATTTCCATTTCTCAACATTTATAATATATATTCCCTGCACCCTCCGCATGTAAGCATACATATATATATATATATATATATATATTTTTTTTTTTTTGTGCATAAAAATTATACCACTGTCTAAATTCCACTTCTGCCTCTCGGGGTAGTAATGATCTGAAAATAAAACGGAGGAAAAACGTTTTTCATATGAACTGTTTTTTTTTTTTTTTTCTCCTCCCTATTTATGCTGGTGTCGGGCATGCAACATGTACTGTGCCATATGTGGCGCACCAAACACGGTATTATATGAGAAACACATAACACTTGAATGTGTGTTCATCAATAAGTAATGATTTTCTTCTATGGTTCTCTTACACTTCTTATAATATATTTCCTTGAACTGGTCAATGGTGGTTGATGGGCTTAAGTCAAAGCAGTCTATAAATTTCCCGTTCCTCTTTTTCAAAATAACTTTCATTTTTTTTTTTTTTTTTTTTTTTTTTTTTTTTCCTCTTTATGTCAATTTTTGTTTGTTCTTAAACCAGTTGTAACTAAAGTTATATTCTATATTTGAGTTTTATTAATTACAATTCTGTGATTATTATTCATATATTTATCACACATCACGGGTATTATCCTTTCAAACAGAATAAAACAAGTGCCGATTCTTTAAATTTCGTGTTGTGCATGGCGCCGTGCATATCGCTGAATATCTGTTGTTAAGTACTTTTCACACAAATATACATATGTGTATTTATATAAGTATATCAAAACCAAAAAACCCCGTGTTGCAGGAAAATTGAAAAACGATATACACAATAGTATGCGCGCTTATGGCTCACTTACAGCTTACACAAACAAAAGTGAATTTATTTATGCACATTTACGAACACATGTTTGCATATGATTGTTCATATATTCATGTGTATGCTAGTTCATATGTGTTTTCTAATAACTATACCGCTTATGCGTGTGCCTCTTATATGTGTGGTCTTCAAGTATGTGCTACTTATGTGTATATTTTTACTATACATACATTGGAGAAAAAAAAAAAAATGTAAAAAAAAATGCTGTAAGCTTCAAGCACAAATAGTTTACCCTTGTTATATGTGCTTTTCTCACGTCAACAAATGTTATAGCATTTTTTTTTTTTTTCCGTTTTTGACACGATAAATGTTAAAGCTCTTTTATTTTATTTTTTTTTTTTTTTCTGTTTTTGTTCTTTATTTAATCACCTTATATGTTTCAATAATCAATATTTTTTATGACACCTTAGTCATTGCATCCTTTTTACGACATATTGTTATGCATATTTATGTACATATATATGAATATTCATTCGTGACACATTTATGTTTCATGCTACTACTTTACTAACTGTGGTAACCTCTTGCCCTCTTTTAGTTTTAATTTTAACTTTGTTTTGCTTTATTTTGCTTTGTTTTGCTTTACTTTGATTTATTTTATTATTTTATTTATTTATTTTTTTTTTTTCTTTATTGCACTTTTTAATTTGAACAGAAAAAAAAAAAAAAAAAAAAATTGTGTAATGTTTAGCCTTGGATAAGAAATCAGATCTCACATTTGCATGCGTACACAAATTTTGTGTTATGACATATTTCACGTTTTGGGAAATAATAATAAAATGGGGAACGGAAAAGAAGGTTAGTTCTTGAAAAAGCATAAAGGAATACAGTCATTTATTTAGCGATCCATTGCACTGCTCAAGTAGTGGTAAGGTAAGTAGCATTACACAAGTAACACATTCGAATCACTGCCTCTCGCAAGCAATAAATTTCACATATTAAAAAGAAAAAAAAAAGAGAGGGTAGGAGAGAAGAAAAAAAAAAAAAAAAAAAGGAACTTATTTGATCAACCATGTATAAAAACAAATATATCAAGATTCGGCATATTCTGAATCATTTCATGTCTTCCTCAAACGTGAAGTACAAATTTTGGGTTTCAGAACTTTTATATAATTTTAGAGAAAGAGTTATATTTGCCTTGTATTCATTTTGGTAACCAGTCCTCTGACCTGTTGGTCAACTTGTCTTCTACCCGCTCTTGTTTGCCTTTTATTCTTGTATTACCTTTCCTGAATTGTAATTTAAGATGACGATTTCTTGAAAATATTTATTTTTTCCTTGCTTATTAAATTGGTGGCATTCATATATATTACAAATGTAAAAAATGGGTAACATCTCATTCATTGTAATTTTTAACACCACTATTAATTTATATATTAAAGTTAAAAAAAAAAAAAAAAAAAAAAAAAAAAAAACACTTTAGATAATCTCCATTCTTAAAATATACATTTGCATAATGTTTTTTTTTTTTTTCCCTATTCCCTGCCACTTAAATTCGTGATGATTTTTATTTACGGCAAGGTGAAAGACAAATGGACATGAATAAAAGGTAACAAGAAGCTGAAACGTGTAATTCATATTCTTGTGAATATTTTAAAATCTTCATTTAAAGAAGTATATAATATTTACTTTATATCTTTTAAGCAATTACAATCCTGTTCTAGTAAAATCGCTATTGTACCTTAATACATGACATTATATTTGCATGGGAATGGAATTGGAAATGCATTTAATGCATTATGCAAATGTATTAACATGGCTAATGAGGCACGAAAGGGGAAAAAAAAAAAAAAAAATACAACATTTTTCTTTCGTAAAATTGGATTATTTATTTATTTGTTTAACATTACATTTTTTTTTTTTTTTTATATTATAGCACATTTTGACATATTAATATGTGGAAATTTTGTGGATGAAAAAGTGCAGAATACCTGTACGAGTGCTCATTCGTCCTTACACATGTAGGCATTCAAATAAAAAATAATGTAACGCAAAAATAAAAAAAAAAAAAAAAAAAAAAAAACATACACACTTTTTTTTTTTATGTCTTCTTATGTCTCCCTTTTGTGCAACTTTCCTTTGTCTTAATTTCGTTCATGAAAAATCAAAATTTTAATTCATAAGGAGAAAACAGGAAATCGCCTATAAAATGCATAAACATGCGCAAAGTCGAAAAAATGGGACGTTCGCAGGGAAATGATAAAATTTGGGGTATATTTAATACGAAGCAATTTAAAGGATTCACTATGATAACACAAACTTATGATGACATCATATTTTTAAATATGCAAAAACGACAGATTTTACATGGAAATAATATTTTACACGGAAATTATTTCTACACTTCCATAAGGATACTTACTAGTGCTGTTATAAAGGTACATATAAAACGTAAAGTCGTTTCATGTTGAAAGTGTAATATATAATTTACGTAATTATGTGAGTGTACGTTAAATCAAAAAAAGGATAAAGGTGAATTGTAATTATTTTCACAAGAGGTAACTTTTTTTCTTTTCTTTTTTTTCCAGGTTTAACTTTAGAATTGGAGTCTTTTTTTCGAAGGTCTCCTTTACGCAGCATACATATGATTGTACATGTCTATGCTTATGTATGTGTCTACGAATAAGTGTACTATTCTTATGCATATACAATATATGTATAAATGTATATGCATATGTAAAACATAAAAAAATCATACATATTCTACGTACACATTAACATACAAGTGTTACACAAAAAAGAACAATTATTTGCCTGAACAGAAAGTTTTTTTTTTTTTTTTTTTTTTTTTTTTTTTTTTTTAAAAAAAATCTTATATGACATTATTTGTTTCATAGTTAGATGATCGTAAGAAATTTGGCTTACATAGTAAATGCTTTATGCACCTCATAAACCCGCGCAATTTTTTTTTTGGCCATTTATTTAATAAAATAAGAAGGTAAAAAAAAAAAAAAAAAAAAAAAAATGTAAAAGAGGGAAATGAACAAGAACATAACAGAATAAATATAAATTGCTTCAGTATGCGTATCATAACCTTAGAAAAAATGGGAAAATTCTGTTAACGTGTATAACATTTCATTTTTTTTTTTTTTTTTTTATTTTCCCTACTTTGTAAAAACGTTTTTTACACATGTGTAAGCATATATTGTGTATATATATATACATACACATATGCATATATATGCTGTAAACGAATGAACATATTTTAATTCCTTTTCTTTTTTTTTTTGGAGTAAGCAAAGGGGAAATTTTTAATTTATAATTAAATTGTGTAATTGTGCATACATAAGCGCTTTTTTTTGGTTCTAAGTGGGGAATACATCATTGTGTATATAATGCGAAGTATTTTCCATATGTTATATATACATGCTTATGTATTTGTACTTTATTTATTTTATTATTTTACCATTTTATTTATTTATTTATTTTTTTTTTTTTTTTTTTTGAGTGTAATGATTTTGAAACACCATGCTTTCCCCCCTTTTCCTCCAGTTATTAATCATTAATTTTTAATTACCTTCGTCTGCTTCTCTTATGGTGATGTTTATAATACAGAAATAAGGGGAGCAATAAAAAATAATAATGATAAAATATGGTGGATAATGAATATCATAATGTTCGTAATACATCAAGCGAAATAAATTTATTGGACCATTTAGGTAATTAAAAAAAAAAAAAAAAAAAAAAAAAAAGCAATAGTAACAGTAACAGTAATAGTAACAATTTTGCGAATTTCCACTTAACGAATGAGTATACAAATTTAAAAAGCGCAAATCAGGGAGGAAGCAAAAAAAGACAGATGCATGCAAAGGGAAACATCACAGAACAAGAGCAACGCACGTTGCACTTTAGGGAACGAGTTATATAATGCTTCCATGAATGAATAAAAACCACATTTTACGAGAGGAAAATTCATTAATTCGTTTTTTTTTTTTTTAAATTTATTTTGTTTTATTTTATTATACACATTGTATCATGTCACCTGTATATATTTTCATTCCCGTATTTGTGCAAACAGATGAAAAAGGATTTAACTTAAATCCCTACGAGGACACAAAGACCAAGACAAATGAAATTAATGATAGCACTGGGAAACATACATCCGAAATGAAAAGAAACACATCGAGGAGTGGAAGCATTAACTTATATAACAACATAACTGAAAGTCTTTCAAAATTAAAAACGATAATAAAATATGATCAGCAAGATGATGTGAATAATGGAGGAGAGATGCAAGAGAAGGAAATAAATGAAGCAGGATGCAGCAAACCAATTAAAGACAGTCCTCAAAATACAACTAAGATTTCGTTCTTGGATAAGAAAAAAATTATAGATGATGATTCTTCTCACATAGAAAAAAAAGAAAAGAGAATGAACAAAACGAGTAACAAGGAAAGGGAAATGCTAAGAAGGATAGCGAAGGCCAATTCATTAAAAAAAATAGAAAAAAATATAAATCTTTTGCTGAAATCAGATGATGAAGAGAAATCGGATGAGGAGGATTACGATAGAGTTCACGCCGATGTGACGCACAGTACCCACGAAAATATGGGGAAGGATCAAATAGACATGTCTCTGATGTCTTCAGACGATCTTAAAAAGGAATTTAGTTTTTATTCTCTGAGTGAAAAGAATAGTCTCCATAAATTTTCTCTTCAAAATAACGACTTGCTGGATATGAGCGGAATTTCACAAATATCGAACATGTCAAATGTGTCAAACTTCACAAAACAGCTAAAACACAAAGACGTAGCAATAAATGATAGCAGCTCTTCAGTGAGCTCTTTTACATTTAATGGAAATGCAAGTAATTTTATAGCAAGGGAACTGATTGGAGAAGAGGAGCATGAAATAAATCCAATTATTAACATGAGCAATGATAATTGTGTAAAAAATTATAATAAAATCATCGGGGGTGCAACAAATGATATGGAAAAGAGCATACTGAATAAAAAAAAAAAATCAGATATATATATAGGCATAGACAATAATAGTAATAATAGTGGTACGTATTATGAAAACAGTTTAAAAAGTAATAGGAGCAATTTAGGAACTAGTCGTCAGAATACCTTAGATGAAAGTCATAGAACATATTTTGGTAGTGGAGATTATTTTGATCCAAATTCAAGTCAGACGAAGGTAGCTAAAAATACGTTACATATTCAGGAACTTTTACATAAAAAGAATTCAGAACTGGATGAATCGCTTTATAATCAAAAATTCAGTAAAATAAACTACAGCAATAACTCCAGTTGGTTAAAAAATAAGGAAACAAGTTTTCCAGAAAATAGTCAAAAAGATATATATAAAAATTATATCAATCTGAATAGTAGTAACAGTTTGGGTAAAGTAATTCTACCGAATAATGGGAATGATTTGGATCTGTCGTTTTCTTACATGAATGTAAAATTGGGGGAAGACATAACAAATGAACATGTAAAAACCAAAAAGGTAGATGAAAAAGGGAAAGAAAACTTACACTACATGCCAAACATCGATTTTGATAATAACATTTTTAAGAATTACAACAAAGAAAAAAAATTAAAAGAGGATAAAACTTGTAACAACAATTTGGAAAAAAATTTATTTACTGAGGACCGAATGATGAATGTACACACCCATGATGGTTCATCTGATGATGTTCTATTGAAAGATGAAAAGAATGCCACGCATCCTATTAGTGAAGATGATGTAAATAGAAAAAATGTTAACGAAATTTACAAAAAAATAAATTCTATTTCCTTGCTAAATGATCTTAGTTTAAACAAATTGGAGAGTCTAAATAGTAGTATTATGGATATGTATATAAAAAATAACCAAGATAATAAATTTCTCGATGATGTAATTTTGGATGATAGTATTTTTATTAAATCTAGTAGTCTTCACAAGGAAGAAATAGATCTGAATATGAACATCCCCCATGTGGATATACCTAATGATGATTATAAAAATAAGTTCTCTTTTCCATCTGATTTAGATTCAGCGGATAGTATTTTTAAAATTTCCCTTAGTTGTAATGAAGTGATTCTTCCGAACCACCAAATTGGGGTTCTAAAAAATGAACATGTGCAAAATGGTGTACATTTAGGAAGTAGCCGATGCAGAAAAAAAGACACAAATCTTTTGGATGATAAACAATTCAATGGTGTAGGAGAAAAGTCAACATGTGATGAACCCTCTGGAGAGGTACCACGACGAAGAGGTGCTTCAAACAGCTATTCGAAGGAAAGATGTTGCAACAAAAAGGATGGAACCTTAGATAACCATTTGGATAGAAGTCAACTGGACAGAATCGATTTGGATAGAAGTAAACTGGACAGAATCGATTTGGATAGAAAACAACTAGACAGAATCGATTTGGATAGAAGTAAACTGGACAGAATCGATTTGGATAGAAGTCAACTGGACAGAATCGATTTGGATAGAAACCAACTGGACAGAATCGATTTGGATAGAAGTAAACTGGACAGAATCGATTTGGATAGAAGTCAACTGGACAGAATCGATTTGGATAGAAACCAACTGGACAGAATCGATTTGGATAGAAGTCAACTGGACAGAATCGATTTGGATAGAAGCCAAATGAACAGAATCGATTTGGATAAAAGCCAACTGAACAGATGTGAATTGAGTAAAAGCAAACTGAACAGACAGAAAACTTCGCCCTTGGTAGATAAAAATGATTTGCTAAAAAATATATCTAACCCAAAATGCAGTTATAACAATGATACAGAATCAAGGAAAGCGAAAACTTCCATTTTGTATAAAATCCCCCAATATACCAGTGATCTAGAAATCAGTGGAAGAGACAAATTTGTGAATATCATCAGTCGATCTTCTCCTAACAAAACAGATATTATAAAACATTTTCCAAAATATGAAACACATACTTATGGTGATAAATTAGGGACAAATGAGTTGGAAAATTGGAAAACATTATTTTTTAACAATAAATTTTCTGACAAACTCAAGATATTTCGTAACGCCCCATGTAGAAATAGCGGATTAAACGAATCATCAAGTCAGAATTTAATAGATGATCACTTGAAAATGGAGGATTCTTTAAATTATATCAATCAAAATAATTCCACTAAAAATGTTGTTAACACTTATCCTCATGTGATGAAGATGAAGAAAGAGGATCTTATGAATCCATTAAATTCATCAACATCTGTTCCACCACATGATGATAAATCCAGGAATGCAATCCAACATCACAATAAGAGGAGTACAGCCATGGGAGCAATCAGGAGAAAAAGAACCATAAGTGATTGTGAAGAGGAAAATACTAGAGCGGATATGTTCAATTCCATTGACGAGCATAGAAACGAAGGGAATCTGAATCACGATAGCAGAAGAAGTGAATTATATGAAAATAGTACATATGACTCGACGAAGGAAAAATGTACTAATATAACTAACGTCGATGTGAGAGAGAAAAACTTGTTCATTAGTCGAAGCAAAAGTAAAAGTAGTAAAAATGAATGGGGAGAAATTGAGAATGTTGAGTGCAACGAGGAACAGAGTGAAAGAGACATAGTGAGAGAAGGACAAGTTATTCCGAAAGACATGGTGCTGCTGGCCAATTCGAAGAAAGCAAATGAGGGTATAAACGGGATAAGGGGTGCACACGAGGTTAGGAGTAGAAGTAGGAGTGGAAGTAAAAGCAAAAGCAGAAGTAAAAGCAGAAGCAGAAGCAACAGTCAAAGCAGCGGTAGAAGCTCGAGGAACAATTTCGAACTCCCCAATGAAGGGGTCGATAAAAGCTCAAAGAACAACAGCAGAATGAAGAGCTGCATAAGTGAAAGTGTCAATCAAGTTGGAAATCTCATTTCTGAAAGTACTAGCTGCATTGAGCACATGAACGAAAGTAAAATTAACGAATCAACTTTTTCAAAACGATTTACTAATGACAAGGGAACCAGAAGAGTATCTAATTTGGAAATCTCGAATAGAAGAGAAATTGAAGGAAATGAAAATAAACATGGTTCAAATAAGAGCAAGGGTAATTTGGAGGATTACTTAGTTACAGAAATGAGAGAAAATAAAAATATTGAAGGAATGAACTATTTATCACATCAGACTCAGGATAATACAATTAAGCACAGCAATATGACTAGCATGCCAGACATACTAAACTTTGACGTAGATAACAACTCTGCCGTTTTTTTTTTTGATAACATACATAATTCATCAGAGTATGATTCAATACCTAAGCCTTTGCACAGTTCATACTTTACTAATAAGCGAAAATTTTCTGATACTATAAATGAAGTGACCAGAACAGGTAGCCAAATGCTGAATGAAAAACTTGTTTTTTCTAAGGGAAAAACTGGGACAGGATCTCAGACAATGCCCATTATAGAAATGCACAATTTTACCACTCCTTTTAGCATGTATGGAAAAACAAATAATGACAATAATCATAATGAAAATAAATTTGAAAGGGATATAACACTTCACTACACAATACAAAGAAAGATGAGTGATGAAGGAATTTTAGAAAAAAATGCACTTTTAGCGAATCAGTCCAATTCTTGGAATGACTTAACATTAAATGAAAAAGAAAAAACTCTCTCTATCGATCCAAGTGGGATGATAAATCAAAGAAGCAATTTTATGAACGATCCTGTAGTTAAGGAGTATGATTATAACGACAAATGTAACAACACTGAGAGTATTATCAGAAATGAAGAATTACAGAAAAAAACAGGTCATGTTGATAAAAATTTTCCGCTTCATATTTTCAGCCAGCCGAGCGGAACACTTACATATACACAAAATGACAGAAAAGAAAAGAATGAAAAAGGGACAACAAAAACTAATATACCAAGTGAGTTTAGTAACGATATATTAGAAACGTGTAGCACCAGTTACACTTTTGAAAAAAATGAAAAGAAATTTGAGCAGAAATGTCAAACAGAAAAATCTGATGCATACATTTTTCAAGGGAAGAATAAAATAAGAGACCCTATATATTCAGTTAAGGAAAAAATGGAAACAAAGTATGATTCGATAGATATACTAGACATGATATCAGGAAATAGAAATACATGTAAAGGAATTGCACCAAATAATGATGCAGAAAAAAAAGAATTTACTAAATGTTATGATAAAAGAGATAATTCATTTTTGGTACATGATGAGACAAACAATAGAATGGTCACATCATGTACTGATGAAATTGGGAAAACATTTTTTGGATCACAAAAAGGATGTAATATTTATACAGAGAAAAAATTTAGCACAACTGATTTTATCTCTCCTAGTATAGTTGGTTGTATGAAGGACGAACACATTGATATGAAGAATCACCATGAGTACACTGAGTATGATAAGACCAACTTTTCCAAGAATTTCAATGTAAATATGTACTCTCGGAATGGTGCTAATTGTAACGACAATTTTATTGACGATCGTTTGTACAATAAACCAAGTGAGAATAATAAAATAGTGGATGTCTCGAGGGAGAAGATTGTAGAATATGTGGGAGAGGCAAATCCTGAGAACAGCAACAAATGGAATGTATACTACAATCGGAGTGGAGATAACAAATGTGCAGATAATCATTGTGCAAGCACGAACAGATTTAATGATCGCGAACAAAATTATGCAAGACAGAGTATAAACGGCCGTGCATATACTGTTATGGAATATGAAAATTATTTAGATAATCTCATGGAGGATAGAAACAAGTCCAACAAAGGTAATATTCATGATTATCACTATGATAAGGATTTCAGTTTGGGTAAACGGGAAGATCATTCATATTGGAGTGATTACAATTCTCATTTGATTAATAATGAAGAGCGTTGTGGAATCAATGAATATAATGAAGGTTCATGTCTCAATTCTATTAAGACACAGAAGGAGGCACATCATAAGAGCGACGTTTGCAGCGGGAGAGACATGCACTATAGGAGAGACAAAGGAAAAGACACCATTCTGAATTTCACTGAGATAAATACTAGACAACAAGAAAATGATGATGATAATTTTCAAACAAAACAGAACTCACTAAATGGAAAATTTTTGTATGAAAAGCTGGAACCCTCAGATATGCTTCAGTCGCATGGTATAAACAATCCAAAGGAGGAAGTTACAAAATTGAATGCACATCTAAGCAGAGACGAAAAAGAAGTTCATTCATGTGACATTCCTACTAGGGAAGAAGCCGCTTATGGCAGCAGAAAAGACAGTGTATTGCACAAGGTTAACGAGAAAATAACCATGTCCAATTTTTCACGAGATCGAGCTCATTCTACATATGTTGAGCATCAGAAAGGGAGAAGCAGATGTGAAGATCAGAGAGAAAGAGGCAGGTGTGAAGATCAGAGAGAAAGAAACACATATGCAGATGAAGAATTTTCAAAAAAACAGCTAACACAGGATTATGCGAACGATAAAAGTGAAAATAGAGATGCAAATTATTCTTTCAAACTAATGGAAAAAGGAGGGAATTCCACAAGAAGGAGGAACGTAGAAAACAATACATCGAATCTTTATCAGTTAAAAGAAAAAGAAGGAATCGAATCAGCTATGTTCCAACAAAAGTACAGTAAAAACGTCTCACGATATCATGAAGACACGAGTAATGAACAGACATATCATACTAATAAATCTTTTCAAAATGATAATCCAAACTTTGGCCATTTCGACGAAATAATGAGAAAACAAGGATATGTGAATAGCTGCATGGAAGGTAATAATAGAGAAAGACACGTCTCTAATAGGAGGCTTGAAATAAGAGAAACTTTGCACAAACATGAGTCTGGAAAATTGACTGGAGAGTTTGCTGGAGAGTTTGCTGGAGAGGTAGCTGAAGAATTGACTGGAAAATTGACTGGAGAGTTGGCTGAAGAATTGACTGGAAAATTGACTGGAGAATTGACTGGAAAATTGACTGGAGTGTTGGCTGAAGAATTGACTGGAAAATTGACTGGAGAGTTGACTGAAGAGATGATTAAAGAGGAAGATGCAAAGTATATCCCAAAGTGTGTCTCTGACATCGATTACCCATACAGTACTCAGGACGATGGAACATGTGGAGAAAGGTATGAAGAAAAATACAACAATAGGTATGGAGAAGAATTCGGAAAAGAGTATCTCGACCCATGCAACAAGCCATATGAAGAACAGCATGATGAGCGGTGTGAACATCGCTACAGAGACGGGCATAACCCCAGGAAGCAGATCACAAAGAAACATGAAAATGATCACGCCCACAAAAAATATTATATTGAGGAAGAGGAGAATGAAGGAAAGATTATCTTGACACCTTCAAACAGAATAGAAAAATCTAAAAGGGATAAACATAGTATGGAAGAAAAAAGCATTCCCAATTATTTACCTTGCCATTCAGAATTTCATTCAGCAAATATGCCAAATAGGATGTATGTCAAATCGTATACATCTTACTTAGATAACAAAGGTGATAATATATACAAAGGAAAGAACACACAACTGTTAAAATGTGAAAAAGGAAATATAAAAACCGATATCATTTATAACTATGAGGATTCTAGTTCATTATCAAATAATATGATGGGACATGTGAAATATGATTTTCATTGTTCTAGATATGATACGAAAAAAATAGGGAATTCTCACAAATGTGAACATTATATTGATGAATGTAATGCAAACGAAGCGGTTAAATGTCACACAAAATATATTCAGAAGGAGAAACATAAAAAAAAGTCGGGTGACACAATAGCAAATAATCATTTTGATGAATCAAGACATGAAAGTAATTATGTTGATAAGACACAACCGTTCCAATTCAATGAAATGAAAGGTAGTCCAAATCCATTACATTATAAAGTGATAAATGAGCATGATAAAAAGGAAATGTGTTACAAAATTGACGATAACATTAGAAAGGAGAATAAAAAATGGAATTGTAGAGGTGCAAAAAATGAGCTACCTTTTAGAAAAGCCAACACAAACTATGAGAATTATAAAGTTTCTTCTGAAATGTGTAATACTTATGATTATCATACATTTAGACATTCTGAGGGAGATACATTGTATAGGTGTGGCATGCCAAGAGATGATTTAAAAAATGATCTTACAGGAAAAGGTAGTGGTGGTAATGGTAGTAGTGGTAGAAGTGGTAGAAGTGAAAATTATAACGAAGTGCTTTATGAATTATTTCGAGAAAATATGGATAGTCAGGGAAATGAAAAGAACAGACAAGTGTTAAATAAAATTATGGATGTCATGATGAATATACAGAACGATTTGAAGGATGTAAAATACAAGCTAAGTAAAAAAAAAGAAAGAGATTCTGGGGAATGTAAAATGGCCGATTCAGCTCTTATTGCAGAGGAAACTAAAAATTTGAATTTACAGAAGATCAACGATCTGAGTCAGCCCAAGGACAATCATCAGGACTATCAGAAATTAAAGGAAGATGATAAAAGGAACACAGTGGTAAGTAATGAATGGATCGTTGGTGAAAAGGAGCGAGCCATATTTGCTCAAAATGAGAAATCTAAAATTGGAGAAACGGGACAAGCCATATTTTCTCAAAATGAGAAAGTCATTCATGAAGAAGAAAATCCACCCAAGTGCAAATCACCAAGAAAGAAAGAACTGAACGAAAGTCTACATTTGATTTTAAAAAATTTGAATTATGAATATATAAAAGACTCAACAATTAGCAAATCCAATAGGCTATATTTATTCAGCAAATTTTTTACATCTCTTTTTCATGAACATAATAAGAAGACACATAATTTTATTATGTTTAATATATATAACACAGAACAGAGAAGACAAACACACAAGGTTTCTCTTTTTTTAGAAAAAGATTACAACAATATTTACAATTTAGCTTATAACAATTTATTATTTTATTCATTTGATTGTTATAAATTTTACAAATATATAAAAAATAAATTTCAAGAGAATTATAAAATATATGAAAATTCTACTCTATGTCTTTATATATATAATAATTATGAAACAAATTTAATTAATCGATTATTTATTGAACAGAATAATTTACATAAAAATAAATTTGTGCTAAATGATAAAAGAATTCTAAAGACCTGTACAAAATATATTGTAGATTCATTTTTGTCTCTTCTAGACAAACAAGCAAACATTAAAAATGTTATTCCTTTCATGAAGAAGAGAGATTATGAAATCGACCAAAGAAATTTATACTTCTTTATCGCCAAATTTAATTTGATGGATAAAATTATTAGTGATTCTCATGGGTTTGAATGTAATAAGAAAGTCTATGAAAAACATTATTCCAATGTTAAAAATTTTGCCATTTTTTTTAAGTATATAAATGACGCATCCAATTTTTATGATTCCTTCATTGAGCCTGAGAAACCTGAACCACACAAAGATGAAGAATCTCCTGTCACTATTCCTTCCACAAATTCACCCTCTTCCGTTACTCCTTTCACTGTGATAAATGCAAAGACAGATCAAAAACACAAAGGAGACAGAAGAAGCTATAGGCTTATCATTGTGGCTTTACATAAAGGGAAATCATACAAATATGATAAAGCACCCTTTCATAATTTTATAAAAACGAGAGAAAATGATATGTACTACTATTATGATAATTATGATTCCATGACCTTTGGAAATGGCGAAGTGATACTCTTTAACTTGTCATATGCAGTTCCTTTTTATTACATAGAGTATAACAGGAATTAAGAACAAGCTCCCGCTCCCCAGGTGCAAGAACGAGGGGGCGAACAAAGGGACGAACAAAGGGAGAGCATTTCTCTCCCTTGTTATCTATGTACAAAATATAATAAAAGTGTGTCCTTAAGGTTTTTTTAAGTGTAGTATTTTTTTTTTTTTAAACAATTCTCTTTAGTGCGTATACTGTCTTTTTTTTAAACAGTTCTCTTTAGTGCATATATTGTATTTTTTTTTGAACAATTCTCTTTAATACACATACTGTCTTTTTTTTTCTTTTTTTTTTTTTTCCCCAATCCTCCCCTTTTTAATCCTTTTCTTGTTCTGTATTTTCAAGAGCACAAATGTTTATCTCTGCAGCCCCTTTTCTAATTTTGTGCATTTTCCTCACGTCCCTAGATTTGATGTGTATTTGTTCTGATCATTTTTAAAAGAGAACACATGAACGGTCTGTTAATAATAACATATTATTTATTTTTTTATTCTTTATTTTATTTATTCATTTATTTATTCTTTATTTTATTTTATTTTATTTTATTTTATTTTTTTCTTTTTCATCTCTTTTGAAAAAGCGTTGTTAATAACTTCTCATCCTTTTTAGTTAATTTGTGACACATTTATTTTTTTTAATTGGAGAATAGAAGCATAGTACAAGATTTCTAAAATGGGTAATGTCTATATGTTCATGTTCTGTTAAGATATGGAAAACACAACGTTGCTCATCATGTGGTGGCAATATCGTAATCGATTATTATTATTATTATTTTATTTTATTTTATTTTTTTATTTCTCCTTCATGCAATTTATAATTTACTATTTTGTTTTCTAATATTTTTAATGCTGTCGTGCTGTAGTTGAACTTTTCTTTTGAGGAGACTCTTTTTTTTTTCTTTTTTTTTCTTTTCTTGCGTTGTTCCAAATTATGAAAATGCAGCTTTGTTTTGGTTTTTATTTTATTTTATTTTTTTTTTTTTTTTTTTCCCCATCATATCTTTTGTATCTACACTTGGAAGAATCTTAGGAGAGTGGTACATGACTACACATGGAGTTGGAGTAAAATGTATATGCAAACGAATGTTTTCCATATAAAACAAAAAAAACAAAAAAAAAAAAAAAAGAGAAGATTAAAAAAAGAAAAAAAAAACAAAAAAATAAATATCTAATGTATATATTTTATGCCTTTTACTCGTAACACATTTTCTTTTTGACTTCCCCTCGAAATGTATTAGAAGTTTTTTTATTTTTATTTTTCCCACGCGATTAATTCATTCTATGATTGTTGTAGAATGTCTTGTGAAATGCTATAGAATGTCTTGTGAAATGCTGTAGAATGTCTTGTGAAATGCTGTAGAATATCTTGTGAAATGTTGTAGAATATCTTGTGAAATGCTGTAGACTGTCTTCTTTTTTACCAATTTTTTCCTCTTTTTTCATCTCTTTTGTGTATCGTGGACAAGCGGCATAAAATATACGTTCATCTGAAGCTGCATGTGAAAAAGTTCACGTACAAACAAGGGTGCAATAACTCTAAGGCACTAATTGTGAGATTGGTTTTCCTGTCCTTTTTATTTCTCCTGTAGGTACTTCGACATTATGAGAAAAGAAGTGATTAATTTTTTTGTATGCATTTTTCTATTTTGCTTCATGTTATGTAGTCTAGGAAGGGGAGGTACCCAACACAAGGAAGGAGCAGCAGAAGTAGCAGAAGCAGCCGAACCCACAACCCATCTAAACAATTTGATAGAAACGTGCATGCGAATCAGTGAAGGAATAACATACTATGAAGATGAGTTGAAGAATTATAAGTACGATGATCAATGTTTTCCTTATCGAGAAATTGGGAACTATGTTTTAGAAAAGCATAACTTAAGCAGTTATAACTGCTATAGGAAAATCCAAAAACCTTTATGCAAAATGAGCTACACCAGTATTACAAATCCAATGGTAGAAGAAATCGATGCCAACAAGAGTTGCCATAAACATATTAAGAAATATACGAATGAGGAAAATGAGAATGTTATTTCAAATATATCTCAAGATGAAGAACATGTAGTTGTGAAAAACAATAGGGAAGAAAAAGGAGAAACTGGTAGAACGAATGTTACATCCATGATGGACACGATAAATGAGAATACAAGAAATAAACATATATCAGAGGTAGACAATATCAATGTGGGATATCCCCAGTGTGTAAGAACAAAGGAACTATTCACTTCTCTACTATTGCAGTGCTTAGAAAATGGATATGGAAATCCAATGTCTCATTGTGCTTCATTAGACATGAAAAAAAATGTTATTCTAGATGGTGAACTATTTTGTCAAAGTTCCTATGAAAGGAGAAGATTGGAAATGGAAGAAGATGGTGTGCATAAATCTATATATGGAAATAATTATAAAAAATATATAATTAAAACGTTCGATTTTAAGAAAGACGAAATGGATAACTGCATCGATATGGTAAACATATTTAATCAATGTTCAATTGTTGAAAAAAGCATATTTCCACAAAAAAAACCTAACGATTGTATTCAACAAGGTGTAAAACATTTTTGTAATGAAAAAATTCAAAAAATGGATGATGTAGATTACATAAACACCTGCTCAGATATTATATTGCCATATTTATTAATCTCTAAATATAAAAATAACACATATTATCAGTTGTGTCATAACATTAACGATTATGCCAATATGTTGAAGAGAAAAAAAAATCAATTTTTAAAAAAAAAAAAAAAAATACAAGAAAATGTGAAACATATGAAATTAACACAAAAACTGTACAAAATAACAGAATACATTTTTCAAACCATGTATGATGAAACGGAGAAGTACAATGTAGACATAAATGATTTATTTAAAAATTTAAAAAACATAAAAAGGGTTCACCTACCTAATGAGTATATGTCAAAATTAAACAATGTTAATCAAGGAATAGCTTATTTAGAAAATTTAATAGACAAAATGGTTTATCCAAACTTCAACAAAAGCAGCATTCATCAAAATATTTTGCTTGTTAATGAAACAAAGGAATACATAAAGAATATTCTTGACATTCAGAAAAGTGTCTTAATCATGGCAAAGATGATTAATAAATACATTCATGAAAGACTCCATACTGGTGTTGGTCATATCAGTGAAGTAGATAACCATATTGTCTTCTTAAATTTCGATGAATTGACATTGCTGCAAAAGAGACATCAACATATGAACGAGATAATTCAAAAATATGCTGACACAGGACACGATTCTATATTTCAGTACCAAAATTCTCTAATGAAAGATTTCCATAAAGACATTGAGAAAATAAATAACTCAATTGAAATGTACACATCCCAAATTTCTTTGCTACTTAAAAAGGGTCTTGACGCATAATCGGAAGTGACGAATCCACATGTGTCTTCTTCCCAAGCAGATGTGCAACCCTTTTACGATAGTGCATATATGAATGTGCTTAATTACAAAAAAGGTGCACAACATATCAGATATGGGTGAAGTGGTGGTGTAAGATTCGAAATAAATGTGCTCCTATAAAACTGTTTACGCATTTTTTTTTTTTTTTTTTTTTTTTTTTTTGCTTTCAGTATAATGTGATTAAATTATTTTTTAAAATACTAGAGATCAGTTAAAAAAGGAAGTAAAAAAAAGGGGGAGTAGAAATACTGATAAGACAAGTAAGAATTCATAATAAGCATAAAAGAAAAGGAAAGAACAAGAAAAAAAGAGGAGGTGACATGTTGATAAGAAAAGTAAGAATTAAAAATAGGCATTTAAAAAAAATATATAAAAGTAAAAAATTTGAATGTACTTTAAAATGCTTGAAGAAGCATAAGTAAAAATTTATTGGATAAGAGGTTAATTCAGTAAAGAAGATGTTTTTCAAAACATTTATGAGTGTAGATTCACATTCTTCAAAAATTTAATTTCCTATGAGTATGCATAGAAATATAGGTAGTAAAAAGAAAAAAACGCTCAATGCACTTTTACATGTACTACTCCTGCGTTTATAATCGCCTCTAGAACTACTACTTTTAAGAGTCTGCAAATTTATTGATGGTTTGGTCTGATCTGTGTTATTATTTTGTACACCATTATTGTTACTTTCTATTAGTTGCTGATTATTTCCAACATTCTGTGCTGAATTCATTTGTGGTAGCACTGATTCTTTAAGTGCATTTTCTATAACGGGATTCGTTCTAGGGCAATCAATTTTTGCATAAAAAAAGTAGTTTGCCATATTGTAACCCTGGTCACTAGTTATATCGATGATTATATTTCCACTGTCTATTAGATTGTTGCTTTCAGGGATAAACAGGCGTCTAAAGAGAAGAAATGGAGAAAAAACAAATTAGTGGAAAAATAATACGAATGATAGGAGCAAAATAGTTTAACGTGAAATAGCAAAATTGGCACAGGGACGAGTTACACAAAAACTGATTTTTACACATTTCCATTTTTACAATTTTCCATTTTTACAATTTTCCATTTTTACACATTTCCAATTTTACAATTTTCCATTTTTACACTTTTTCATTTTTACACTTTTCCATTTTTGAATATTCCCTCAAACACATTCTGTTGAGGATTATAATTGGCTATTACTGATAAAAGGAAAATGATTGAGCCTGGTGAATACTAAGCATTTTTAAATTAGCTACATTCAAAGGGCACACTATAGAGGGATTGTTCCCATTTGGTAACTGCTCATTTGGATTCAATGAATTATTATTGACATTGTTTATTCTAACAGATATATTAAGCCCACTAGCATTGTTGTCCTCTATAATTTTCGTTCCATATACATACAAGTTAGCCATCCTGAACAAATGCTTATATGCACCAGATGTATCTAGGAAATGGGGGGGGGGGGAAGAGAGAAGAAAAAAAAAAAAAAAAAAAAAGTTTGTATATATATATGCATGTATTTATATAAATGCATATATATGTGTTTATACAACTTCATTCCATTGATAGAGTTAATAGACATAGATTTTTTTGTTGTGGCAAGAAACGTTCATGAAATTGTGAAATAAAAATCCTGTCTACTAAGCATTGCTATCTTCTAAATATTCTTGTTTCATAAAATTTACCCGTGTTTGGTAATGCCTTGGATGCCATTTTGAACTTATTTATGTCAGGTACACATTTGGAGAAGTCGAACTTCGCCTTATCCCAGAGAAAGGACATAGTTGCTACGTTGTTCTGGTTATTCAACTGAAAAAAAGAAAGAGAAAACAAAATATGGATATGTGAATACGTAATAGAATTTAAAAAAAAAAAAAAAAAAAATATGAACATGTAATAATATTTGATAAAAAAAAAGAAAAAATATGAACATGTAATAATATTTGATAAAAAAAAAAAAAAAAAAATATGAACATGTAATAACATTTTGTATAAAAAAAAAAGAAAGTAACGAATACTGCAATACTGCCAGTTGTGATATTAACAGTAATAAAAGATAGCTTTTTTCTTCCTCTTAAGCATAATAGAATGTGTCTTTTTCATTTTTTTTTTTTTTTTTTTTTTTTATTAACATTTAAGGGGGTATTAAAACCTGATGATATAAAAATATTTTCTGTATTGAAAGTTTTCATGCTGTTGCATTGATCTTTTGAAGTTCCTAAAATGGTACACCCACCACAATACGTTAAATTTGTGCAATCTGTACCATGGGGAAGAAAAGGGAGGAGAACATAATGTGAACAAATTTTGTATCCTATATGAAGAGTGCTACACTTACACTCAGCGGAATAACTCTATAGATATTTTGTACGAATGAATATAAGGATATGTATGAAGGTTTGTGCCTGATACACGTGTTTGTGCCATACCTGTTAGTGGTACCTTCACATTACTGTCGTTTGTTAAGGGAGAGCAATTTATCGAACTGCATATCATTTCGCTTGTGTTAAATTTATCATTATTATCGATTAATTTTGAAAACATTTGTTCCGCCTTTTCTTCTACAGGGGGAATAGCCATGGCAGCACCAGATCCTGTGCTTTGATTAGAACTTGTACTTTGATTGGTATTTAAGGTTTGATTAGCATTTAAGGTTTGATTAGCATTTATGCTTTGATTAGCATTTACGCTTTGATTAGCATTTACATTTTGGCTAGCATTTACGTTTTGGCTAGCATTTACGCTTTGATTAGCATTTACGTTTTGGTTAGCATTTACGCTTTGGTTGGCATTCGCGTTATTGTCATTGAATGCAGTTACTGGCGCAGCAGCAACCCCGAGAACGGCACCCTTAGCTACATTCAAGTTATTATTGCCTCCGTTGGAGATGTTACCATTTAAGTTATTTTCCTTCATATTAACATTTCCCTTCGCATTGTTATTCTCGTTTATGTTATTATTCGCGTTCGCATTGTAATTTCCATTCACATTGTTATTACCACTCGCGTTAATTGCGCCCACGTTGTTTGCACCCATGTTGTTTGCACTCATGTTGTTACTGCTGTTCATATTATTTGGGACGTTCACTTGATTTACTTTAAGGTTATTTCCGTTCCTATTATTATTCATACTAACAGTGTTTGCACCGTTAATTCCCAAACCATTCGACATTGTACCTTGTGCGGTTTTTTTATCATGATTATGCTTCTTCTTCCTATGGTGTTTATTCACGTAATTATTGTCTTCTGTGTTTTCATGTGAATCGTTATTTCCATTGTGATTGTGTGCATGAAGGTTCCGTAAAAAATGGAAATTTTTATTATGTTCTTTTTTACTATTAGTTATATTTTGGTTTTCATTATGACTATTATGGGTGTCTTGTGATCCTGAAGAATTGGAATAACTCGACGAATCATTGTCTTCTTCTTCACCCCCATGATTGTTTTTCTCATTTTCATGCTCATTTTCATGCTCATTTTCATGTCCATTTTCATGCCCATTTTCATGTCCATTTTCGTGTACATGTCCATGCTCCTCTTCCTCTTCTTCTTCTTCATCTTCTCTTCGAATTCCATTTCGTGTGCGTAATTGTAAAAGTGATTGATAACTTTTTTTTTCTATTGAAGTATGTGGATATCTGTCGAAAAACAGATTATCATGTTTATTTTCTTGTATCACATGCTCATTTTGGATTGATATTTTATCACCAGTTTTGTTTCGCTTGGTAGATACAGCTGTTATGTCTTGAGAAATATGGAACATATTTTTTAGGGCAATTATTTTGAAAATGGAGAAATATAGCTTCAATTTCATTTTAATCGGGTGGTAGTTACATTTTATTATCTCATTTTGACTAATTCAATTTTTTTTTTTTTTCTGGAATTTTTATTAATGCGATGATCTATTAAAATTTTTTTTTTTTTTTTTTTTTTCTTTTTTTTAAGAACAAAAAAGGTTAACACGATTATTCCTTGTCCATGTGGTTATTTCACATGCATACATTCGTCTTTAGAAAAGAATGATATAAATAATCTTTCGGATTATTAGTTTGTTGTGAAAAAGATTACAGCACTATATGGCACGATGAAAGCCGCTGTATTGCGAGTTACATATACATATACATATATATATATATATATATATATATATATATATATATATATATATATATATATATATATAAATATATTTTTTTTTTTTTTTTTTGCAAATTTTGGCAGGTATGAAGTGTGTGCATATGTGTGTATACCTAAATACGAATTCATAATTGAATGGAGAGATATGTATTCCTATAGTTGTGCGGATGTATTGGTGGGCATATTTAAAACCCTCTGTAGAATGATAATGCAGATGTGATAAAAAAACAAAAAAACAAAAAAAAACAAAAAAAAACAAATACTACTTCTTTGATTAAACAATAGAAAAAATTGTGTTAAGCGTGCCCCTAGGTGCATTTAAGCACATGGGAGAGTAAGGGTAGGTATTTTACAAGTCTGTAAATAAGACATCTACATATTTTTTGATTCTACTCTCTTTATTTTAAAAATTTTGTTTAATATATAAACGTGTTGCATATATACATGTGCAAGTGTTTTTTTTTTTTTTTTTGCTTTTATTTTATTTTCAGTTGTAGTTTTAGTTATTGCACCACCTATGGATATCACAGATACGTATACACATAACCATTGATAAGACATGTGCATTGGAACATATAGGAAATAAAGAGAATTCCATTTAATACATTTACATGTTTACTAGATGCATTTGCAACAACCTGTTTTATAAAGAAGTTGTAACAAAATTATATTTCTTATACCGATTGTAATATATGAGATATGGAGCGGTGAATTGGCATGTGAAACTGTGTTAGAATAACATCTCCTCTCTTATGAATTAACCATGTGAGAAAAGTAGCATAAAATAAAGATACATATTAGAAATAATATCATAATCTAGACAAATATTATTTTCTCTTAGGAAAAAAAAAAAAAAAAGAAAAAAAAAAAAGAGACATTTAAAATGTAACCCATATACATGTTCATGCAATTTTAAAATTATCCAATTAGTATATTTCTCGTGGGAACTTATTTGCTTTTATAAGGATGATACGGGAGAAAAGTGATTTTTTTTTTTTTTTTTTTTTCTTAAGTTTACCTAGAGTAAAGTTGTGTAAAATATGCCACGGTTGAAAAAAAAAAAAAAAATAATAAAATGAAGAGGGGTTTTAAAAAATGATACCTTTTGTACCCATTATATGTTGGTTTAAGTGGTATCACAGGTGTCCGTATGTATACATATATATATATATTCTTACTTCAAGCTTAGTTACCGGGAGTGTATACACTTCTTGCTGATAAAATTTATCCTTTTTTTTATTTTATTTTTCATTTTTACGTCATATGAAGTGATATTTGTAAAAAAAATTCACTTTTTAGAATATATTAAAAAGGTGAATATGCGACTCTCCTATCTAATTCTTATCGTGTTAAGACTTTTTCACCAACTTTTAAAAACTGCCTAAAGCTATGCGTGCGAGAGGGGCTACTTGTGTGTCACTTTTTTAAAGTGCTTTATTTATTTCATTTTATTTATTTTGCCCAGGTAACAATTTGACAGGTTTGGGATTCACCCAAAGAATGACACTTGTGAAACCTTAAAAATTTATGCAAAAATATATTCCACTCCTTTTGAAGCTTCGTGTATGTACATTGAAAGAAAAATGAAAAAGGGGAGGGGGGGGGATGTAAAATATAACAGTAGTGTAAAATGACTTTGTAGATATTTTAAATCCACATCCTTCAGCGTTACGAGGCAAGGAGAAAAAAAAAAATGCAATTATGTATGTGCATATGTACCTATTCATTTATGTATATATCTAATATATATATATATATATTTTTTATGTTTATTACTTATTTGAAAAAGAAAAAAAAAAAGAAAAAACAAGTCATCCATCTAGATGTTTTTCCGAATATTTTTGTTCAAGGTGTGCCATGCTTCACCACCCCTCCACCCAAACAAAGGTGTGGTATAATCACGTGCGTGAAAACTTCAAAGTTGCAAAATAGGAATTGTTACCATGTTATTATATACAGTATAAATAAAATTTAAAAAAAAAAAAAAAAAAAAAAAAAAAAAAAAAAAAAAAGGATAAGTATACGAAAGTAAGGAAATATATACATTATGTAATATTTACAAGCATGGTGTGTGGGATATAAAAAACTGTCCCTTTTTTTATGCAACATATGAGATCGGAATTTTTTTTTTTTTTTTTATAAGCATATATTGTTACATGTAATATATGAATGTTGAAAAAAAATTATATGACAAAAGAGCGGCATTTTCGTTTATAAAAAGGAAGCAAAAGAATAAGAAAAAAGAAGAAAAAAAAAAAAAAAAAAAAAAAAAAAAAAAAAAAAAAAAAAAAAAAAAAAAAAAAAAAAAAAAAAAAAAAAAAAAAAAAAAAAAAAAAAAAAAAAAAAAAAAAAAAAAAAAAAAAAAAAAAAAAAAAAAAAAAAAAAAAAAAAAAAAAAAAAAAAAAAAAACGTCGAATTATGCATATTAACATTGTACTAATCAAAAGATTAAAAAATTCAAGGGAACAAATATGCACGACTATACATACATACACATGCTGAAATGTGCAGATGAGCGAAGAATACTCTAGAGCTATTCCATAAAAAAACGATAAAGAATAATGTGAAAAAAGAAAAAAGAAGAAAAAATAAAGAAAAAATAAGGAAAAAATAAAGAAAAAATAAGGAAAAAATAAAGAAAAAAAAGAACAAATAATAGTGTAAACAAAAAGAGCAAACCAACCCCCCAAATAACAAGTATACTTAAATGTGCATAAGTATGCTCAAATATAAGCAAATACAAATAAACGTTGAAACGAATGAACAGAAACATGAAATAATTTTGAGCTAAGAAGCCAACATAATAAATGTTTAGCTTCCATTCAAACAGAGGAATCAAAAATAAGAATATCTAACTGTATCCTCCAGTTACGCTACACAAAGGCTGAAAAAAAAAAAAAAAAAAAAAAAGAGAGATAGATAGAGGTAGAGATAGAAATAGATATAGAAACAGAGAAAGAAATAGAGAAAGAAACAGAGAAAGAAATAGAGATAGAAATAGATATAGAAACAGAGAAAGAAATAGAGAAAGAAATAGAGAAAGAAACAGAGAAAGAAATAGAGATAGAAATAGAGATAGGCAAGGTTACCAACATAAATATATAAGGTAACCCGAGCACATTTTCCCCACCTTGCATGAAAGTACACCTATTTATATATAAATGGAAAGGCTAAACGGAATTGTAAAACAGGTTACGTCAGCAGATACCTATATTTTGACAGGAGCCAAGAAAGGTGAGAGGCAACGAAAAAAGGAGATTAAAAAAAAAAAAACAAAAAAAAAACAAAAAAAAAAAAAAAAAAAAAAAAAAAAACTTTGTAAAAACGTTTGTTACAAATGGAAAGGGTAAACGGAATTGTAAAAAAGGTTACGTAAGCAAATACATAATTTTGAAAGAAGCAAAAAAAGGGAAAAGAAAAAAAAAAAGGAAATAAAAAAAAAAAAAAAAAAAAAAAAACAAAAAAAAAAAAAAAAAAAAACACACATGTAGAGTTGTACTTATCGAATGTAGATGGAAAAAGCAAATTATATAGAAAAATAGTTCAAATCGGATGAGAAGTGTGTTGTATTTATATTATTTTACTTTATTCATATTATTTTATCTTGCGTGACATTTTTTACACAACAATATGATCGATACAGAGTTCTATGTACCTTTGAGTGGCTAGAGCAATGCATGAATACACTTGTAAATGCAGATGTACATACTAGTCGGTGATATTTCTCACCTGTGTTAACATATTTCTTCAAGGGAAAGTATTGCATCCTTCTATGGTGGCACATTATTGTCACCAGTACATACGCATAGATTTGCAATGTGCTTTAGTTTGCTACATAATGGATGATAATCGCTAGCATATACGTTTTACACGAACAGTGCAAACATTTCACGTGTAAAATCGTGGTAACTCCTAACCTGATAAGGTTTTATAAATGTACAAAAATAAAAAAAAATAAAATAAAATAAAATGATGATGTATCTTTTTTTTCCCCTCCTCCGCAAAGGTGGTGTTGTTCAGGAAAGACAAGTGAGCTTAGCATGCATACAATGCCCAAGACTGTTTATGAAAAGTCAAAATATAGAGAAGAATGAAGAACCATTTGCATGGGAAAGCAGAGAATTCATTCGTAAAATGATAATAGGAAAAAATGTGAGTTTTGTTGTTGAATATATATACAATAACAGAACTTATTGTAGTGTTTTCTTTGAGGATCAGAATTTGTCAATTTTGTTGCTTCAAAAGGGTTATGCAAATCTTGTATCCAACAAAAATATAAAAACTAATGTGTATGCAGATTTGGAAAGTTATTATATTGAAGCTAAAGAGAAAAAAATTGGAATTTTTGGAAATAACATTAACAGTTATGTTAGAAATATTGTTTATTCTTATAATGATAAAAATCAGAATAAACAAATTTACAATATGTTTCTGAACAGGAGTTTGAAATGTGTAGTAGAACATGTAAGAGATGGATCCAATTTTCGTGTCTATGCTGAAATTGACACAAATGAAAAGCGAGAAATGGGTAGAAGTAATTCTATTGGAAATTCCCCAGCTGTGGAAAGAACTAACGATGATAAAGAGAAGAAGATGAAGAATAAAAATAAAAGTACGGGAGAAGAGGGAGGAGTAAAGAAAAAAAAAAAAAAAAAAAAAAAAAATGGTAATAATGATGAAAATAATAGTGATAATGATGATGAAGAGGATGGAAAAAAAGGGAAAGAAAAAATGTACAAAACAATGTACTATTTCTCATTCACATTGTGTGGAATCATAGTAGATATGTTCAAAAAAGAAGTAGTGAACAATGTAGAAAATGTTAAAGAAGAACCGTATGCTATGGAAACGAAGAAATTTGTTGAATCGAGATTATTAAATAGAGATATAGAAATAGAAATAAAACATATGGATAATAATTGTAATCTCTATGCTAATGTACATTACAAACTAGGAAATATATGCACATTGTTGTTAAAAAATGGTTATGCTTATATTAATGAATATACTATAAAATATGTTGAAAATGCAATTGAATATAAAAGAGCGTTAGATGAAGCTATACAATTAAGAAAAAAAAAATGGATCAATTATACAGAAAAAAAAGTAGATTATGAAAAGGAATATTTAACAACGGTTATTGAAGTTTTATATGGGGATGTTATCATTGTAGATTATCAAAATGAGGAAAGAAGATTATATTTAGCATCTATAAAATGTGAAAAACATAGTACCGATTTGGCATTAAACACATTATGCTTATCTGCCAAGGATTTTCTGAAGACACAAATTGTTGGAGAAGTTGTTAAAATTGTTACAGAATACGTAAGAACTCCACAAAGCAATAGTGAGGGTTACATACCTCCATGTTCTGATGACAAGGGGAGAATGCATTTTGTGAGTGTTTACAAAATGGTGAATAAAAAGAAAGAAAACATGAAAGGTGTTAATGGTACAAGTGGTGCACTTCCCAGCAGCAAATGGAGTAAAGCAAACGAGGAGGAGGAGGAGAAGAAGAAAAAAAAAAAAAAAAAAAAAGGCACCACCAAGGAGTCCAATGAAGAGGAAGCAAACAAGGACGAGGAGAGTGAGAAGTTTGAGAAGGTTGAGAAGAACGTGAAAAATGCAAAAAGTGAGAAGATTGCGAAAAGTGAGAAGACTACAAAAAGTGAGAAGACTGTAAAAAATGAGAAAACTGCAAAAAATAAGAAGACTGCAAAAAGTGAGAAGAACGTGAAAGGAAATGCAGAAGTGCATATGCCCTCAGATGAGGGATACACAAGCATCAATATGAATGAACAACTTGTTGCCAAAGGATTAGCAAAAGTGATGAACCATAGACAAGAAGATGAAAAGGCAAGTAACTATTTCAGATTACAAGAATTAGAAAAAGAAGCAGAAGAAAAAAAACTAGGAAGATTTAATCCACACATAGATATTATAAAAATTAACAACATCAGTGGAAGTGAAAATTCATTGAGAGCCAGATCATTTGAAAATGTATTGAACAAGTATAATAATTTAAATGCAAGTGTAGATTATATATATGGTGCAAATAAATTTAAGCTTTACATTCCTTCGCAGAATTTGTTAATAAACTTCATTCTACTTGGTATAACAGTGCAAAAAATAAATTTAAAAGAAATTAATACTGTCAGTAGTGTGAACAACAACCATGGTTCTTCAGCAATGCAAAACAAGAAAACAATTGATGAATATGATGGAGAAGATGTAAACATATTGAATGGAAATGTTAGGTCTAATAGAAAAGAAAAGATAGAATTGAAAGAATTAGCAATACAAGCTTATAAATATACAAGAAAAATGCTTATGCAGAGAAATGTACAGATATCCATAATTACATGTGATAAGGGAGGTAACTTCATAGGAATTTTACGACATCAAAATAAGGATTTTTCTATACATTTACTTTCATTAGGTTTTGGAACATTAAATGAGATAGGATTAAATAATACAAATGAAAGAAATAATTATGTTAAAGCAGTTGAAGAAGCTAAAAAAGAGAAAAGAAATATATGGTCCATTGAAAGAATGATAGAAAATGATGATTATGACGAGGAAGAGGAGGAGAGGAAGAATGGAGTTTCTTCAAGTAATGCTATGCTGAATGGTCATAAAAACCTTTCTCAATTTGACAACATTTACTATTGTTCCTATGTAGAAGATATTAATAATATTTCAATTCAATTAAAAAGTAAACAAGATCAACTAAAGAAATTACAAGATGAATTAAATAAGCCTGCAAACTTAGAAACATCATCACAATATATGCTTTCAGAAGTTAAAAAAAATACATTAGTCATTGCCAAATATATTGATAAATGTTACTACAGGGCTGTGATATTACAAGTTAATAAAAATAAAAAAAAAGCTCTTGTTAAATATATTGACTTTGGAAATGAGGATGAGTTAAATTTTGATGATATTAAAAAGTTAAGTGATGCTAGTTTGAACTTAAAAAATTATCCACCATTTAGCATAAGAGTATCTTTGGCAGGAGTTAAAATTCCAAATGAAAATAAAACAGATTTAATTATATATATTAAAAAGTTCCTTCTTGATAAATTTTTATATGTCAAATTTGAAAAAAAGGAAAAAAATAGTCCATTTTATTATGTCGTTTTTTATGATTATGAACGCTTTACAACAAATAAAAATGTAAAAAGTGTAAATGAAGATATGGTTGCTAGTGGAATTTGCTACGTCGATAACCGAAGTGACACCAAGATCTTTGAGAAGTTGAAGAAGGAAGAGATTGTTGCTAAAAAGGAAAAACTCATCATTTGGGCTTATGGAGACATTGACTATGATGAAGATAATTGAGTTCGTGAGAAGTGGTGATTTTAGCATGTCAATTAAACTATGATTTCGTCAGGCAAAGTACTCCATATGGGTGGGATATATACTTTACTGAGATATGAAGAGAGAGAAGTATGCTTTTTTGTATCTACGACTCTTTTTTTTTTTTTTAATCTCATTATAAAATGTACATGAATAAAATGACCATCCATTCTGCCAGGAGAGGGGGAAAAAAAAAAAAAAAAAAAAAAACAATCTCGCTGTACTACTAGAGGAGGGGAGGTACTAGTGATAGCTGGGTTAGTTGTAACAATTCGGATGAGATTGACATAACACAGAAACTACTTTTCATCCATAGCTGTACCAGGGAGTTTTACACATTAGCAGAATTTTTTTTTTTTTTTTTTTTTTATAAATGCATATTTTCATTTTTTCATAACCATATGATTTTTCTCAAATGTGTAATGATATATATAACAACTCTTTAATTATGTTCCTTTCATTAAAATAAAGGTCAAAATAGTGATAATAATTAGTGATATGAAAACAAAGAGGCAAGATGTCCCTAAGGGATGTGTTATTAATAGTCAAATCATTACGTGTTTCCCTATGAGAAACTGTAAATGTGTAACGATGATATGTCAACTGGAAAATGTGTCTCTTTCCTATACACTTTTTCTCCCCTTCCTTGTGCAATTATATCAAATTTTTTTCCAAGGCTGGTATTTACACACTGAGGATGTTTTTCTGTGCAGGCCCTCAAAATAGATCGATGAGCACACATATGTTTTTTTTTTTTTTTTTTTTTTTTTTTTTGATGTGTTCCAAAAAAAAAAAAAAAAAAAAAAAGGTGATATGGGCATACTATATATATAAGGAAAGATGATACACAGCTTATACAATACTTCACAAGTGCTATAATATAAAACATGATTGTTAATGTAAAAATACACAGGTAAAAATTTACGCTGCAAATGAAATACTATCTCAGAAAAAAAAAAAAAAAAATTTACTTCTTCCTTCGTTTCTTCAGATTTTGCAATTTGGATGAATTGACTTGATTTTTTGGTTCCTCCTCCACAACAACAGCCTTATGTTTAGGAGGCAATTCTTCTGTTTTTTGCTTCTTTTTCTTAGATTTCTTGAATGTACTTTTCTCATGTTTCGGGAGCCATTTCTCTGGATTATAATTGGGATTGTAATTTTTTCCATCGCCTGCTTTCTTTTTCTTCTTCGATCTTTTTCTTTTTTTTTTATTCTTATTATCTGTCCTGGTTGAAATAGAGACAGAAGGATCTTTACCTCCTCCACCAGCACCACTATCTATGGTTAAGTTGAAGGGAAAATTTTTATTTTCAAGTTCTTCTACATCGATAAGATACGTTTCAGTAAGAACTGCTTTCTTCAATTTGTCTTCAAATTTATTTGCGGAGCTCATATTGATATAGGTATATATATAAGTAAAGCAGAAGTAGAAGTGGAAATCATTGGGGGCTTTTTTCGATAAATGTTCAAAGAGATCTATCAAAATTTCTGATTTTTCATGAAGTAATAAATATTTACTAACTAGAAATAACGTTTCATAGTTAACAATTTGTAAATCCGTTTTAATAATTTCTTTGTATTTTTTGAAAAGGTCGATAACTAGATTTAGGTTCGTCGGTGCACTACCATCCTCAGGAACGGAATGCTCCTTTTTTTTTTTAAAACGTGCACAAATGTATATATAAAACAAATTAGAAAAAAATGTACGATAGTAATTGATATTTATTTTAAACACATGCTCATATTTCAAATACAATTTTACAATTTCGTTAAAACTTTTTCTCTCATAGCATAATGATATATATGCGTTTAAAAATTTTATTTTATTTTCATATGAATACATCAAATGAATATTCTTTAGCAGATGATGCTTACACTTTATATAAGAATTCTCCTTTTTTAAAAATAACACAATTAGTTTGTCTAGCATAACAGTATTGCTGAATCTCCTTGAGAAGTTATTCAATTTGGATTTGAATTCGTCCTTTTGTTCGTTCTTAAGGCTCTGTAAGCATTCATTAAAGAGTCCTACCATTTGCATATGTTTGTTTAAGCTGTTTTTTGCACCGATTCTGTTCATACGTATATATGTTTTTATTTTATGCATTTGGTCTGGGCTCATGTTAAAGCTGATAACAGATGGATCCCCGAGTTGTTCTACGGTTGAAGTTCTTGATTGTAGACTTGATGATGTTACATTCTTTAGTTTTGGGCTGACATGCTGAATGCTTTTGCCTTCACAGTTATTTCTAAGTGCATTGTAATTATTATACGCTACAAAAAAAGGGATAAAGTTGATGATGTTGTCAGTAATTTCTGCGTATCCGTTCTGTTCATATTCCTCGTAATTTCTTAACACACTTTCATATATCTCTACGGCGTCTTTCATTCGGTTGGACTTGGAATATATGTAGGCTCTATGCAACTGAATGAGCATTTGTTTGTTTCTTATCAGGTTTACGTAAGTTTTATTTTTATTTTTTTTCTCAAGTGAAATTACACGGTTTGCATATGTTTCTTCCTCATGTACATAATTATCGTGATTCATTTTGTTACCCATTCCTTGATCTGTCTTCTCATCAATTTGGTTCATATGGCCCCCAGTTAAATTATCAGGATCTGACAAATCATCATCCAATGTGGAATTTCTGCAAATGGCATCAGACAAATCAAGGAACTTGGTGGCTTCAGTGTAATTCTTTTCAATTATAAAAAACGTAGAGTAATTAAATAATTGTTCAAAGCTATCATTCTCTTCATCGAATTTAAAATTGTTTGTATTGGTTAAAATATGATTTTTCACCTGTTCAATGTCTTCATATTTGACTTGGTTGTTGTCGTTCGGCTTTCTTGAACTAGCTTTTGTGTTTACCTTACGTAAAAAGTTATATTGATACAATAGTTTCATGTATAGAGAGAAGTAACTACTATTCACATTAATCGAAGCTGCTATTGCTTGTTTGGGATTTTCATTACTTAGTAAGCTTTCATAAGAACTAATACACGTTTCAAAGTGATGCAATCTGTAATTTACTTCTCCTAGTAGTATATCTACAAATTGATGAAAATCATTTTCTTGTTCTATTACATATTTTAAACAACCATTAAGCTTTTTTAACTTATTCAATTTATACATACAATAAAAGAGTTCAAATAAAACATTTTTATTTTTAATACATTCATAATTTTCTTGAAAAAGTTCTTTAAAAGTTTTTTTGCATTTATTCTTCACACCAGTATCACCATTACTGATCTTATGTTTTGTAGAAAAATTCTCTTTATTAGTTCTTGTCAATATGTGCATTATTTCATGTACCAATTTTGTAAACTCTTCCCTCTCAATTAAACAATAGTATCTAGCCCTCAGGGCATATTCATCACACCCCTCAAAGGTGTAAATATTTTTCGTTAAATTAATTACATGTTCATATTTTTTTAATTCAAAATTTGACTTTATTTCATCCAGAGGGAGGAATTCCCTTAGATTTGTTGGATTATCACACATTCTATCTCTTCTCTAAATATATTTCGAAGTAACACTCTTATGTCTTCTTATGCATGTGTATACATGTGTTATAAGTGAAGGAAATTTAAAAAAAGAAAAAAAAAAAAATAAAATAAAAATGGTGAGTTTATATACCTCTTGAAATATGCTGTATTTTACCACATACAGGATTATCCAATTTCATACGTGGTAGAGAGTGTGACACACCAAATGGAAAAAAAAAATACTTTTTTTCCTCAAATAAAAAAAAAAAAAAATCTATGAACCACTTGAACGATATTTCATTATGAGATACATTATAAAAAATTATCAAAAAAATGAAAATTAAAAATATCAGTTTAGGGGATTGTGGGGTAGTAGATAATATCAAACTCTTCCGGATGTGCTAATCATATCGAGTAAATATAATATATATCATTTAAGCTGTAAAAAAAAAGAAAAAAAAAAAAAAAAAGTCACATTATTTTATAAAAAACACTGATTGTAAAAAAAAAGGTTAACTTGTTTTACTTCAAAAATGATCAATTGTTAAAATTTGAAAAATGTATGTAGATTTTTTTTTTTTTTTTATATAAAAAGCATGTACCTGGAGGATGATTGTTGGTGTTTAAGAATATTTTTTTTATACATAAACACAAACACATACTTATATAATATACTGTGTTTATGAAAAAAACAGAAATATCAAAAAGTGTACAAAATCGAGCATGAAAATATCCCCATCTTTCTTTATATCCATGTGCTCACGGGGTAATGTTTTATCCTTAATAATTACATCCATTTTTTTTTTTTTTTTTTTTTTTTTTTGCCTGTTGGGCATAAAAATATATGGGAAATGGAAACATATGGATTGAAATTACTGAGAGCATGGGTGTTACGAAGTTGTGGCAATGTTCGGTTTGTAAAATGAGTTAATTCATATATACATTTCAATTTTTTCCTAATTCATATTTTGCACTTGTATTTTCAGATTGGTGCTTCGGTATGTCCAAACGCAGTTAATTTATTCATATCCTTGTACAAGTGGTAACAAATGTATTATAAATTTATGTATGCAAACAAGCGGAAATATATACATACAAGCAGATATATATATATATATATATATATATATATACTCATATATATACATACGCACGCGATCACTTTGACCGGGGGTGGCGTTGCATGATTAAACATAGTAGATACACACCCATTTAATGAGATTTTTTTGTGAGATCTCTCAGGTGAAGCTTATTTCAGCTAAACAAATATATTATGGATACTCTCACATCTGAATAAACCTGTACTTTTTTTTTCGCAATTATGAAAAGTATTAATAAAGCTGCATTGAGCTATATTATGAAAGTCGTATAATAATAAAAAAAAAAAAAAAAAGAAAAAAAGAAAATAATAAAAAAGTGCTACTTTTTTTGATTTAAAAATTCAAGGAGAGGTCATTGTGAACATATGTATATATATATACACATGCAATGACCGTGTATATTCCTTTTTATCGTATGAGAGAAAAAACCTATTTTGATTTCCCCAAAAGGTCTGATCATAATTGGCAAGTGTTTACAAAAAAGAAAAAAGCACAAGGAATTATTTTGTCACTTACATTTTGGATATGAGTAAAAACGTACCATTGCATGTTCCATGAAAACAAAGTTGTGCTATTTCTTCCTTACATTCCTTCCTAGCACATACACATGGTACCTGTCTACATGTGTATATAGATGCTTCTACATTCATGCAAGTCGACAAGAGTTACGCAGAATTTTTGCACACCACCTTGGGCATAACACAAATTTGTAAATTTAGGAAAAACAGTGAAACATTTTAAATCGACACATGTGTAAATAATCGCAAAAGTGTGAAAAAATTCAAGTGCAATATAATGACAATTATTTTAAAATTATCACAGTGGAAAATAACCATCTCTCGTGTGTATCCATAGGATGTAAATGTGTGTGTTTACGTTAATCTCTCTATCTTATCCCTTATGATATATCTTGTTCAGAATGTTATCTTCAATTCTTCTTCACCACTAATATTTTTCCCCCTGAATAGTCACCTTAAGTAAATGTATTCGTGTATGCATGTATGCAAATTATGTATGTAAAAAAATGAAGTGAAAATTTTTACGACCTTTACAAATAGATTGTGCACGCTAAAAGACATATCACTGGATGAAGTAATCCCCTTTTTTGTAGATCAAAAATTTATAAAAAAAAAAATATATATATTATAATAAAATACTTCGAAGAAGGTAAGAGAGAGATGAGTACATACAACACAATGACGTAAAAGTAGTAACAAAATTTAGAATGGTCCCTTAAGTTTTCTTATTGTATAAGTTCATAATTGTAAACATAAAGAGAGGGAAAAAAAAAAAAAAAAAAAAAAAAAAAAAATTATAACACGTACACAATGGCACATACAACATATAAGCATCATAATTTCCGTAACACTACAAGTGCCTCCGTTTATCATATTATTACCCTCTAATAATATAGTGATAGAGGTGAGAAAAAGGTAAAGAATATTTAATAGTTCTCTCAATTTATGAAATTTGAGAAACAAAAATTTGCCTTATGTTTTTAATATCATTTGATTACGCAACATTCATATATTTTAGAAAGAAGAAAGTCAAAATGTGTCCCTATATATTTTGTTAATGTAAATGTACACAAGTATGTTCGCAAATATGGTACATAATGCACGTAGGAGAAAAAAAAAGAAACACCCCTTTACTTTGAAATGCAACATCCTGGAAGAGAGAACTACACATATATATATATAAATATATATACGAGTGTACCTGCAGCAATATAGCACATATATGTTAAACTGGTTTCATTATCTCATATATATATGATAGTACATGCAGAATTGTTCTTGCTACCTCAACATAATGTGTAGTTGCTATATAAATTATTATACTTTTTATTATTTTTTTAGAATTTTAAAAATAAATGTTTTATATGTTTAATGAATTAAGAGAGAATAAAGAGGGGGGGGGGGTGAAAGAACTATGGGTAAAGAAAAAAGAAAAAAAAAAGTAAACTAGAAAAAGTGCAATACTATTGCTTAAAAAAAAAAAAAAAAAAAAAAAAAGAGAACAACTACAATTTATAATGCAGAGAAGAGAAAACATATATAACTTGAATCACATAACATTTTAAGATATTTCTAACTTCTTTTTTTCTTTTTCTTTTTTCTTCATTTATTTTAAATTTATATAATTTTATGTACGTTAAAATACACATATGTATATATATATATATATATATATATGTATACTTATATACGTGTGTCTGTACAGGTATACAATATGTATATGTGTATTTCCTATAAAAACATTGTGCGTACATAGACATACGTACGTATATATATATATAGGGAGCCCCTCTTATTTTGATTTATAGCTTGATTGGGCTACTATTCTTTCACATATATTTATACTTGCATAATGTATTATTTAAAAAATATGAAAAAAAAAAAAAAAAAAAGCAAGGAAAGTGGCAAAAAAAAAAAAAAAAAAAAAAAAAAAAAAGAAAGGTAGAAATGTAGTTAGAAGGGGGGGGGGGGGGAAGAAAAAAGAAAAGGCATAATTATGTACATATGTATATATATACACATACAAGCGTACACACACTGCCTCTACACACACATTAATCACATAAAGATGATTATATTAACATGTACAATAAAAAAATATATATATACATAAATATATATATATATATATATATATATATATATATATATATATATATATGTAAAGGGAAATAGATACAAAACTCTATTTTAGGGGCATTCTTACAAATTTAAATTGGGAAATGTTTATTAATAACAATTAAACTACGATATGCAAGAGAGAATTGTGTGTATATGCATCCAGGTATGCAGCAATATATATATATATGTACGCCTAAATATGTAAAAGTGTATATAAGCATATGCGCATACACACGGGAAGAAAAAACTTATTCAAGGGTAACAAGTTTATACAATAAAGGTTGGGTAAAAGAACCACATCTTTTATCTTTCTTTTTTTTTTTTTTTTTTTTTTTTTTTTTTTTGCTATACTTTTTTTTTTTCGTGAAAAAGGAAAAAAAAAAAAAAAAAAAAAAAAAATATTAAAATTAAAATATGAAATTTTTCAAAAAATTAACTTTAAAAAAATGATGATTTTTGTTTTTTCTCCCCTTTTTGTTTTCTGTTTTATTAAAACGGTTTTTTTTTTTTTACATTTTTTTTTTTGCCCTTTT